TTCACCTCTCGACGGTATTTTCATCGGGCCACCAACGCGTCCGCCATTGATACCGGCGGGAAACGGCGTTGCCCGTGGGCAACGCAACGCGTACGCCGAGGCGTTCGCGAACACGCTTTCCTCGATCAATAGAAATCGAACAATAGAAATATTGCTCCACACCGACATATTTATGCCCCCTTTCTGTTACTCCTTGTTTTGCGATCACGCATCGAAGACAATGCCGAGTGCTCTATAGGGATACGTGGGTTACGCTGAAAGTTTTGAGGCTATCAAAATAAAGGGTTGGATAGAGTGAGAAAATCATTGGGAGATCAGGTGAAACGAGCGATAAGTCGGGGATAAAATTGTTCTCGAGATTGCTGCTCTGATATCTACTATTCCAGAGAGATATCTCTTGGGTATTGTACGATTGAACGGCCTAACCATACCTGGCAAGCGGATCGATCGCCGTGTACCGTAAGGTGTTCGACTGTTGATGACCAACCACGCGGAGAAAGTAAATGACAATAGAATATCCTCCCACCTCCTACTATTAAGATAAGCGTTTAAGTTGCGAAGGGTTAACGATCCCTCAGTGCAGCCTCTTTCCAATATCCTGTCCAAACATATTTGTTACTCGGACTGCGAAAAAGGAAACGGCAAGTGATAGGAGAGATTGGTCCTCCGCGCTTAGGGCTGTGGCCAAAGCTCTCGGCCGCAGTTGAGGCCGGCGATGGAACAGTGAGCCAGCAGCAGCAGTAGCAGAGTAGCGCATCCCGTGTGCGATCAATACGCAGCGCAAGCTGCGAGAGAGGCCACGACTACGTGAAAATACAGCAACGACTACCATGATCGTCACCGACGAAGACGATGACACGACTACTACCTCCATGACGAGCACTGCCTACGTACGATACTCCACGACATAACGGCGTGAAGCCTCAGGGAGAGGAGGAGGAGGAATACGTTGCCAGGCGACGGAAGCTGCCTACCGCCAGAGTTCATCGTCCTCCAGCTTGTTTCTTCTCCCTTCCACCCACCCATTCACCCATCCACCCTCCGTTTATCCTTCTCCTTCTCTGCCTCCAACACTCGACTTTGTCTTGTTCTTGCTATTTCTTTCTCGTTTTTCAATGTTCAATCTTTCTCTCTCTCTCTCTCGTTTTAACCCCACGCGTTTCCCCCCCTCGCCCGTTTGCTGTTTTACCACTCCCGGATTCCCTCTCTGGCTTCTCTTTTTCATTCGCCTTCTCTTTCTTTTTCAATCTGTTCTCCTTTCTCTCTGTCTGTCTGTCTGTCTGCCCCCCCCAATGGTTTCTCTCTCTCTCTCTCTCTCTCTCTCTCTCTCTCTCTCTCTCTCTCTCTCTAGGTTTCATGCTCTCCCCTCGTTATTCCCTGCTTCGTTTGGTGTTCTCAGGTTTTTCTAGCTCCTCTCGGTGATCCCTTTTTCTCCCTCGTATTCTGGCCAGCTTACTTGTTTCTTTCGGCTTTTTCGAAGTTTCTTTATACTGGCTTGCTAGATCCTCTGCTATCACTGTTTCATCGTATTGCGTTATGATTAACCTCACTTGTCTCGTGTTGTATTCATTCTACCCTGTTGTATCTATTTTTCAACCCTTGCTATTCGATACTGGCTACCCTTAGAGGAAAAGACGTATTTATTACTGTTATTAGTTATTTCAAAGCGAATTGGGATGAATATCCCTATATCGGCTTTTCTCCCTAGGGAAAGTTAACGTTGCTCGCCCCTGTACTCGTACTCGTACGCGCATGCGCAGAACGACTCAGCGGAAGGAGAGGGGCCAGCTGCCCCGCGGTAATTTGTTCTCCACCTATACCCCTCCGTCTCTGCTCGACTTTTCATCTTTTCGAATTGATACACGCTTCTCCGCGATATTCCGGTTCGCTCTCTTTCTCCCGGTTATTATGCGCTTTTGAATGCGCGTGGACGGACGGTTTTAACGATCGTCAGCGCGGGTTGCGAGCGACCGCGACGACATCTGCTTAAGCGTCACGACGCGGCGAATTAATCAGTAAATACCGACCGCTTCATCGATTTTACGCCACGGGATATTTAATTCTCTGCCATATCGGATTTTCACGCTTTGGTCAAGTCGTTGCACCCTTAGATATAGTACGGCTTCTCCGTTCCATCCACGCTTGATGCCTCTCGCGTTTTTTCCTTCTTTTCGCAACCCCTTTCGTTCTCGACCGGCGCACTATTTAAACACCGTTGTCAATAATATTCCAGTGAACGACTTATCTGTATCTCTTTATCTCTCCGACTTCTGCTCTTCCATACGAGTATCGTTTTTTCTTCGTTCGCTCCTACTTAGGTTAGACTCTTTCTTCTCCATGGAATTCGCATTGGTATACATCCTCTGTACTTCTTCGTCCCTCTCCCACAACTCCCCACCTTCTGTGTACCAGCCGTTCGTTACTTACCACTATCAGGGGGGCCGCTCGCATTGCAAAACAGCCGAGATGCACCTCCATCATCGTCGACGTGGTCGTTTCCATCATCGCTATTACCGCTAACACAGAGATGCATATACCCGTTCTCGGACCACCTCCTCGCTTTTCCGATCCTCCTATTCGACTTTACTTTCGTTTATTTCTGATTATGCCGCAACTGCATTCGACACCGCTGATTACCAGCGATGATGAGCTCTTTCCGAAGAGGTATTCCCACGTATATCGCGACATTGTTCCCCTTTTCGTGGGACCGGACTCGGTGCTACGCTCTCTTCGTGCATTATTGTTAGGATAATTCAGGTGATTTCTATAGGCGACTAACCGAACTCGACGCCGTTCCACTTGTCGATCGTGATTGACACGAAAAATGTTTCTCGGTACAGTAAAAGCTGGATATGCGCGAGAGAGAATATCCATTCTGCGTCCGTACACATCGTTTATATTCAGCTGAGGAGTCGATTCTATGTTGTTCTTTATTCTATTATTATTGTTAGCTTGTAAATTACTTTAATTTTCAATAGGAAGAAACTGTCCGGTTTGATGGAAATCGCGTGTTTTTCCTAATATTATAAAGCACCTAGTTCTGCAGCATATTCTGAATAAATAAATAAATAGTGTTTGGTACCATTTTAATCAGAAAAATCTCACAAATGCGTTAGGAATAGTTTTATTAGGAAAAGATCAAAAATAAAAAAATTGTATCATTGAATTAGTATTAACCACACCGATTTACGGTTGGGATCATATTACATGGCTTCCTCGTCGAGCGTCTCGGTCAGCCTAGGGTGATCCCCCCCACATGGAGGGGATATACACCTTGCACTTATCCAGCCAATCTTTTCTTACACTTATCCAGCTTTTACTATATGTATACTGTTTTAGTTCCTACATTGATTTTCTTTTTGTAATCCTTATAGAAATGATAATTGTATACCATTAAGGTTGGGCTGATTGGACCGAATACTGCCATAAGCAAGCGAACAAGTATTTGACTTAAACTTTGCATAATTATAGAAAAGATGAAAATTAATAATGTTGCAAAGTTATGACGCATAGCTCTTGAAAATAAGGGAGAAATCCATGCTCAATTTTCTTTACAACTCAGCCGGTAATTCGGAACGAAATGTGTTAACAGATGGCTAGAAAGTTGCTTGTTTAATATGCTTTGGAGAAATCACGGTAATATTCTCATTGACAGTGTTTAACTTCGCTGTTGTAAACCGATCTTGAAGAAAGCGTACTACTTCCGGTGCTCCATTAGCCCCCTTATTACGGAACTAACACACATCCGAGAGGTTACAATATTTTATTTTCCTGTTATCTCGTATCATTTTCGTGGTACCTTGATTTCAGACAATTTATTCAACTTCCATGAAATTATATTGCTGCGTATTGACCTGAGATACGCGTGAAATCTTCGCACGCGTATATCGCCTTATCAATATTGCTTTGTAATTTGATGCAGCTGTAAAGGACACCGGATATCTTATTTGACTTATGATGTGCTGCTCGGTGTGTGGCACTGGCGCGTATAAATAGAGCGTGCAGGTGCATTTGTTGCACTCGATGCACCCGGGTTAAATGCTGTTTAACACTAGATTTACGGTCATTTCTTATATACCTGTCTCTACGAACAAGCGTCGCCAATTAATTTCCTGGCGACGCGGTTCTAAAACAAAAATTTGTAAAACGAATCGCGAAAAAAACCCCTGCTTTTTCGAAGCCCAAAAGCAGACTGGCCCCTGCGCGATGCAACTGGCTTCGTCAGGTATGTACACTTGGTCCATTTAACTAGGGGTTAAGTAACAAGCCCTCTGATTGGCGGAGTACGACAAGCGCAGCTATCTGATTGGTCCTAAGTGTTTGATCGGTAGGATTGCTTAAATACTGTAATTTCTGTGTTTTCCAGGAAACAAAGTACAATATCAATCTAGTGTCCGTTCGTCTAGTGAAAAAGCACTGACTTTGGAGTCCAAGTTTAACCCCAGCAAATATCATAAATCTAATTATTTAATAAAAGCGTTAAAATAATTAATATAATCATCTGATAAAAGCTTTAGAATATTCAATAATTTATTTGAAATTAGAAAATACACTAGACGGAACTGGACACTAAAAAATAGTAAGTAGATAGATTTTTTGGGGTCATGATCGTGTCTCCTGGTTCGAAATTTTATCTCAATTAGCGTCAGAATGATTAGTCAGAGAAACTGTAATAAAGGAAGGGAGAATTGTTTTTCTTCTATGTAAATTACGTTGTGGGGGGGAGTCGAACTCGAGCCAACTGCGTAGGAAGCGGGCGCCTCCACTACTACGCCATCGAAGCCCTGTCGGTGTTTTTCTACTTTTTCCACCTTTTTCTTTTCTCCCAGACCAGTGTGTATAGCATAGGCTTCGAAATCGAAGCATACAAGCGCGTTTGAGCATTACAGAATGATTTTAAGAAGATTATACCAAGAATGTTGTAGTCTTGCCTTTATCATCCTGAATATTTGTTCAAATAATGTCATTTAACTACATAAACGGTGTTTGTTTTGTTACAGAACGTGGATCACAAGCTGAAATTCCGTTCCAAGAAGGGCGCGCTGCCGTTCGTCGAGCTAAATGGCGAGGAGATCGCGGACAGCATTATCATTCTCCGCGAATTGAGCCAAAAATTCAATAAAGACCTAGACGCTGGCCTTACGTCCGAACAACGAAGCGTTTCCCATGCGATGATATCGATGATCGAGAATCATCTGGTTTGGGTAGTCACGTGTTGGCGCACCAAGAATTTCGATCAGGTCCTTAAGGGATACAAGGTGAACCTTCAGCACGTTCTCGGCAGCCGTATCCCCAATGGTATTCTAAACTTTCTCTTCAAGCTTACATACGGACGTAAGGTAAATCTTGCTTTCGAATTTCGTTTTTCTACAATTATTTACTTCATCGGTAGCATGTGGATCATTTGTAGCCATATCTAACTGAGATTTCTTGCAGGGCGCAAAGAAGGTGAAGGCTCAGGGCATGGGAATGCACACCCCTGAAGAGGTATCCCAATTTGGATGCGCTGATCTCAAGGTTCTCTCCGATATGCTTGCTGATAAACCCTTCTTCTTTGGAGATGAACCAACCACGGTATGCTTTTTGTACCTATCACAATTGTATTTATGTGTGAAAATATGGGATTCTGGTATTAGATTCCATCTAGCCTCTCCTTAGGTTATCTCAAAACCAAAGGCACGCTTATTTTTAGCTAAAGAAAGCCAACATTGCATCCAATTGTACATCCACGTGCAGCGATGCCTTCTATCTATAAGAGGAACTATCAGATGCCTCATAAGCCCTTACCAAACGAACATGTTTCTAATATATTTATTTTTTGAATTAGTTGGACGTCGTGGCGTTCGCGCACCTCGCCCAGATCCTCTACATCGACAAAGACACGCCGTACAGCCTACGGGACTACATGGCGGAGAACTGTCCGAATCTTGTTGGGCACTGTTCGCGCATGAAGGAGCGATGCTTCCCCGATTGGGATCAGATCTGTACGACTCTTGACATGAACACGCATTTACCAAAACCTGAGAAACAGGAAGAGAAGGAAGGTAAAGAGGAGGCGAAGGAGACGAAAGAGTCGAAGGAGGAGAAAGAGGGCGACAAAGAGAAAGCGGACAAGGAGGAGAAAGAGTTAGAGAAGGATAAGGAGGTTGACGAGAACAAAGAAAAGGAAAAAGAAGGGAAATAAGCTGTCTCGAGAGGAAAGGAAAAGTAAATAAGTCGTTCAAAGGGAAAGAAGATTTCAAACTTGTGGAAAATTGTGGGTGTGTGATCTGGTAAGAAACGGAGGGGGGGATAAGGGTGAGACGGAGAGGGTGAGTAAAGCATGAGAGGCGTGTATGAATGAACGTATTGAAAGGAAAAGAGTAAGTGCATAGAACGGATGAGAGTGTGCATGCGAATAGAGTACATGAGAGGCAAGAAGGAGGCGATCGAATGTATGTGTACGTGAAATAAAGAAAGCAAGTGGCGTAGATGCGACAAGCGTTTTTAAGATTAGAGCTCTCTACTTATACGTATAGATATATTAATAGGCTCATAATGTTAAATACTTCGTTTATATACGGTTCGTAACATGTTACGTCGTTTCTCATTGACACACCCGAAGCACACCCGGAATCGAACAATCTTTATCCGACCCATGGGCCCTTCGCCCTCCCTCCCTGGATAAACGAAGAAAAAAAAAAAAAAGTAAAAAAATAAACAGAACGGGGCTATCTCATAAGTCATTAGAATATCGTAGGTTTGCAATATATCAAATGCAATAGCCTGATGCGCGCAGGTGGTACGAGATCTTCGACGAGAACAGTGGCCAAAAGGATGAAAGAAAAGGAAAGGAATAAACGCGCCTCGGTGTATATCGGTAACAAAATAAGATGTACACACAGTGCGGTTTAGAAAGGAGCGAGATTATCGTTTATAGTTGATGATGAACAAAAGAGCTCTGGACATTGATTCAGGCCTCATTTTGTGGTCGCTTCTTATTACCATTGGCTCTTACTGTGTAAAATGAGTTACGTACCTAGCGTTCCAAGTAACGTGTACCGTATACCACATCATGATCTTCGTTTAGTCGCGTTGCTGTTTAGTTGCATTAGACGAGAGCCCTCTGTTTAATAATTCAAATTACATGCACGTCATTTTCGAGTCACCAAGTTAAACGTGATAGATTAATAGTCACGTCAGAGAGGGAGATTAGTAACTATCTTTTTAATTGTCTCTTGTACATCATAATATCACCTGCTTCGTTCGCGTCAACCTCGAGGCGACACTGTTTTTACACTTGACGCAATGATTCATTAAAAATAATAAGTACACTTGTTCACAATGATAGGCGGGCCCGCGCATCTTCGGGTTGACTGGTTCTTCTGTTCTCTTTTTATTTCTTTTTTACCATTGACAACGTCCCGACGAGCGAAGACTCATCTGTGCGATTGCGGATCGACAGCAAATGATATATTTACGATGATTTGTACATTATTATATAGATATTTGTATTGCGTATACGCGGATGCAATCCGAGTTAGGGTGGCGTTCACCGAATCCGGTTAGGAAGCGATAGCGACGCATTTGAAAAGTCGCAGCCGCTTCGACCGTCTTTGTTTCTTCTTTTTCTTTTCATAAGAGCGAGACGAACCTTGGATTTAAAAGAGGGCGAGAAAAGAGGCACAGGCAGAAAAGCGTAAATCTTCTTGTGTGTCTGGGTTTCCTTTCGATCGTTCGAACCAATATATTCAATGAAATGGAAAAGAGAAAATGAAAAAAACGAACGAAACGCTGTGCTGTCCCGTGTATTAGTTCAACTTTTATTAGATGACTTTATGAAAAATTTTACAATGCGAGGAAAATGCGAAAAAAAAAAAATAAATAAATAAAATACAAAAGTGTCTTTCACGCATCGAAAAGAAAGAAGAAAAGAAAAAGTACATACAACTCAGACATTTTTTTATGTATAATGTTATATAATATCGAACGGGAATTGAACTGTTTTTGTACGAGGCCGCGCGTTTAATTAACAAACCGTGGTCGCAAAATAATTCCACGAGAAAAAAAAAAAACACGAGGATAATATAATTATATTTAAGTAGCTTACTTATAATTAAACGACGATTACGATTACATAAAGGACAAAAGGTAAAAAAAATAATAATAATAACACAAGTAAATAATTAGTGTGTGAAAGCTGTTTATACCTTAGGACAACGCATACGTTTACACCCGTGGTTACATATGATTAATATTATTATTATTGCGGATTATTATTATTATTATGAATTATTACAAGTACTAGTATAGATAATAATAATAATAATTATAATTAGTAAGGAAGGTTGAGAAAAAGAAAAGAAAAACACTTGGACAAGACCATAAACGTTGCAAGCACAGTAGGTAGGCACACATCCAATACAGTAAGGTTTATCGTAAGAGGAATATTAATAATAATAATTATAATATGACTGCTCGTTTTATGCTCGGCGCTATACATTTCATTGTCATTATTATATCACCATTTATTAACGATATACATACGAACAAATAAAATGTGTTTATAAATATAATGTGATCTTTACGAAATTTTATTGATCTTTATTGATTCACCTGGATTTTAAATATTTCTTTTAATTCCGTTAATATCGCACGTATGCGGTTGCATAGAAATTAAGATAGATTAAGAGTGATATTTTATTTTTAAAATATTAAATAAATCACGGTAAGTCATTCCATTTTTACATTATTTGAGGAAAGATACTTAATTTTTAAATCATTCGAAGAAAACTATGCGATATTTATATTACCCGAGGATGATTTTTATATTTTATATCGCCGCATATGTTAATTTCATGTTACCTTGCACAAATTCAATCTTTATATTTCGCGGCTAAATTAAAATTTTTTAGCAGCGCCATCTAGCGGGCTGTGCACCTGAAGCTTGCTCCTGATACTAGGGTAGCAGAAAAGTAAAAGAGGTATGCGAAGTTACCGTGGGTCGTGGGTGGGGGACCCCCGCCCCACTCCATCATGGCGTCGCGTCGCTGCATAAATGGCAATACGCAATACATAATAATTAATTTCTCGTTATCTACGAATAATCTGTGTACTTTTATAATTTATTATTACAATATGCCGCTGTATTAATATCCAGTTAGAAGTTTTTAAACATTTGAACTGTAATTAAGTACTTATTGGTAAATTTAGAAAACCGCGTCATGAGGACGGCAACACATGATCGAGATTTTCGATGTTTATCGATTTCTCGTGACTAATTTATGCACATTTATAATTTTAGAATGATAATGGATGTATTAGCTACTTTCTAATATAGGTTTTGTTAATATTTTACTTCAGAATAATAACTTATTAGCAATTTTTGGAGGTAATGTCGCTCAACAATTTCCGGTGCGGCCAATCACCCCTAAGAAATATTAATAACTCAGCAAATACCACACAAATATGAATAAAACTTGCTGCAAATAATACATACAGGTCTAAAGAATGCAATACAAGCTTAAAAGTATGTAGAATTTGCTCGATAGTGTCGAAATATATTAATAAAGTGAACAGGAATGTATGAAGGTTAGCAACGTGCCGCTGTTCGATGTAGCGGTCACCGCAAAATCTGTAATAACTCAATATTCCGATGTGAAATATCAGTGAAACCTATATAGGAAGATAGCTGCATGATTATTCTTTAATTTTAAATCATTAATATTCATGAATTAATTACGAGAAGGCAATAAACTGTCAAAAACCTCGGCTATGCACAGACGCCGATCGAGGCGCAGTCTCTAGATTTATTAATAAGTAATTAATTACAACCAAAATGCTTGCAAAAACTATATGTGAAAGTTATTACGGTTGTGTACTTTAAGAATAAATTGCAGAAGTGCAAAAATGGTTCGTATTTAGTGAGAAATTAATCGTTTCTCATGAAATATACAGGTTTCTGTAGGTAGGATGCCATTTTGAATTGGCTGTTAGACCGTATACCTCTTTGCTTTTCTGCTGCCCTGGTACCAGGAGCAAGCTTTGCGGCACCAACCGCTAGATGGTGCTGATAAAAATTAATTTCAGGCGCGAAATTCAAAATGACAAAAGATTGAATCCATGTAATAAGGTATGTTAGCATTTAATTGAATATAAATTATATTATAATTAACGAATCGAAAAAAGGTTCAGATGAATAAATAAAGTATTTCAATAGAACAAAGATGTGATTGGACCAACTTTCTTTATTATCTAAAATTCTGAAGATGTACATAACAACAAACGATTGAAACGATCTCTGAGGATCATTTACAATGTAACATTTTATTTATAATTTGGCGGACAATGTTAATCTATAGCTGCATTCTTTTTAAAGCGTGACTGATATTTCAAGTGACTTACTTTATAGAATTTTTTTATCTTATTTATAAGAAGAATTTAGAAACATTAAATTTTTGAATGTGAGTTAGTATATATTTAAAGAATACAGCTAATAATACTTTTTTAAAATTATGCCTCCGTTCTTTAATAGTTCTACTCGGCATTTGGATATGTTTTATATTGCTATAATTTAATACTACAATCATATCCAGTCACTCAGTATCATTCAAACAGGCTCTTAATTTTTATTAGAATTACATTCAGAATAAACGTTAACTTACATTCTATGCATAGTTTGAAAGTTTTCTTGAAACAACTTTTTCTGAAATAACATTTGATTTATTAAGAATGTTTCAATAGATTTGTAACTTAATGATAGCAAGTACAGAGCTTGAAAGGAATTTTTAGATAGCAACTCGCTTCCTTTTTGCATTCCATTAATCTTATATTTTGTAAGTCACTTTCCAAAATATAGATTTACATCTACACATGTAAAAATAGGCATAAGCAATTAATATAATTGTGCGTGTGGTCCCTACTGATCCAAAAATATTTTCAATTACATTCTCATGTTGCTATGGTGCTATTAATGCTGCAACTATTTTCGCAAGAACTTAAATCTTGTGTTCTATACGAAACCGACAATCTATGTTTAAAATACAACTAAAGTATACCGTTGAATATTTTACAAAATAAAATTACTCAATTGCTTTGTACGAAGTTTCAGCATAAACTATACACATGTATAATTTCAAGTCTCTGGAATTAACTATTATACATTTATTTTGGTAACTTCAATTACTATCAATCTAACTATAACGATGAACTCGATTTCAATATCAAGAACATGTTATTCGAGGTAGTACAATGAAGATCTTCAACTTTGTATACGTTTTAAAGTATCTTAAGTTCTTAAAGAAGTTAGAACTCGTCAAAAATTCATTAAGAGAATATTAAGTATGTTTGATTTTTAGATAAATTACTTCTGATTCTAAGATTCTTTTGAATTACCATTAGAAGTACCATTTCTTTTGATTTCCTTGCATCTCTTTAAAGTACCATATGGTAGAAGTGATTTATCACATTGCATCAACAGTGAAACATAAATATATTCAGGTATCAGCCATGAATCAAATGTCAGCCTCATACACAGGGTTCCAAATTTAGTCAATCGATCATAGCTTCTCGTTTATCACTCTCAAGTGAGAGATAAAAACAGTGAAACACAGATTTCAACATCTCTGTTAAAATGCTGTGCTGGCCGTGGCCGTGACGCTGGATTGCACGCCGGACTCAGAACTTTGACGTCCGGCGTGTGGCTATAGCTACGTGGATGCTGCTAGACTTATGGACGTTGACTCGGTGACAGCTGCCCGTGGCTTCACGTCCAACGAATCGTACAAAGGGAATTCACAGCAGAAGATAAACTTGAGGAATTGTGGCACCTCCATGTAGATTGACGGCGGTATCGGTATCAATGGCGACGTGGACTGCTTGTAAAAACGGTACTCGGCGTTGCTGGAAAACAGTCAATCATCATCAGACGAACGCTTAGTAATCCTTTGAAATAGTTACATGCAACATTTAAAGCAAACTATTTCTGTCAAACAAGACTCAAGCGTCTGAAGAGCGTTCAGTTACCAAGAAATCTGTAAATACATTAAACCAAACACTTACTCGCGATATCTCTCATCGGAAGCTCTTTCCAACAGAGGCATCCCAGACAAGAATAGAATAATAAACGTAGTGAAGATTGGAGAAGCTATAGCGACCCATTCGGCTCCTTCAATTACATTCAAAGATATCACAAAGATACCCCACCATACTATTATCTCCCCAAAGTAATTCGGGTGCCTAGACAATCGCCACAGCCCTAAAATAAAATACAAAGGATCTATTAACGAAAAGTGAACATTTCAATGTGTATATACTTGATAAACAGCTCGAGTATAATACCATCGTTGCACCATTTCCCATTATTTATAGGATCCTGTTTGAAAGAGAATTTTTGTAGATCAGCATATGTTTCAGCTAACAAGCCGGTCACGAAGAGACCTGTACCGGCGCTGTCGTACGGTGTCATAGTTTTAGGGGCAGGTGGAATTTTGTGTCGTGGTGAATTAATGATAATTACCGGGAGACTCACCACGTACACCCAAACAGCCTGAAAATATAATCATATTTAAATATATAGTTTCATCGGTGGAGTTTAATTATACTTAAATTATTATACCTGAAACGTCCAAAATACTGCAAAACGAATTACATTGCTACGACGATCTTCAAACCTTTTATCTCGTCCAATCTTAATAATCCGGTACAAGAGATATCCAGATAGGCGAACTCCCCACAGACAAACAAATACGGTGACCATAAGTTGCCTACTGTCATAAGGCTGACATGAAAAAAGGAAAAATTAATTTTACAGAAACATTAATTGATACCTGATGTTTCACTGTTGGTACTTATGAAACTTTCGTAAATAAACGATCATACGAAAATAAACGTTCACGGTGAAAATAACAGCGTTGCGATGTTTTACAATGAGAATTAGACGATACGCGTGCAGACATTTTTCGTGTGCGGATGCAGTTTATAATTAGAATACCTTGCCCACTTGGCCGAGAAAGAAAGTGAGAAGGGCGAGAATGATGAAGTTTGTGCCACCGGCAAAGTCCGTCAATTTGTCCAGCTGGAAGGTCGCCGCGATCGTGAAGAAGATAATTTGCATACCGACCGTGACGATCGCGCTCACCGCGAAGTGGTCCTCGTCTAAAATATCGACCGCCATTGATCCTCGTTGATTGCCCGCCCCACCGCTCGATGAACTATTTTCGAATCTGGAATCGTTAATTAAGCCGTTAATATTGCCAACGAATAGGAATTTATAATTACTCTTCAAAAATAAAAAAATAAAATTACGTCCTTCGTACGTTCCACAATAATCGATTCTGAAATCTCGAATAATTTTATCCTCCATTTTGAATTTTTAGAATTTCATGAAAGGGATTTTAAGAACTTCACTTTTAGAAATTTTATATTTCTTTCTTTCTTTTACGATTAGAATAGCTTTCAAATAATCTCGTTGAGTTCTGGTGGTTATTTTCCCAGTAATACGTGCGCACTTTAGAAAATATTTATGGTGCTAGTAGTACAGGAAGAGGTTTAGTCAGGCTTAAGAAGATTGCACGTATGTATATTAATACTGAAACTTGACACCTGATATTTTTACGGTTCTATATTATTTCCCGTATAACAGACACCTTGATACTTCCCGTTTATCGATCATGCTGTACCGTGCATAATATAGTAGCTTTTTAAATAAGAATAATATATGAAAAATATTAACAATCATATTTTTCAATGAAAATCGTCTTCCCTATGTTCAGAAACATAACAAATATAATTTACAAATAAAATCGTGATTTATGAATTAAATCGCGTTAAATAATTTATTTAATTAAAAAATTATAAATTGGAGAAAATTTGCTTGTTAATATTTTTAAATATTTTAATATTTCTATTATTGTACACTTTTTAATTGTTGCTAGTGGAATCCCTTGTTTCCACGACAGAAAGCGTCGCAATGCAGTTCACATAATTCATTATTTTCTCAGGAGAGAGAGAAAATCTCATTTTCCTTTATTATCTATACTCATGTTATTTAAAATCCTTTTTTCGAATATAATCGCGATTATAAAGCACACTTTCAGTCATGAAAATTGAAAAACAAGCAACAAAAGAATTTGTTATTCAATACTTACCGTGTCTTGAAGCTCGCGACACGAAATTTTTGCATCGTACAATCACGAATTTAATTGTCAAACGACAATAAAGTAAACAACGAAGACAAATAAATAAATATTTAAAACATCACGAAATTACGGATTACCAAATTTATTACTGTACTAGAACCAATACTAAGTTGTATGCATTGCTATTGTCATTTTTCAAGATTAACATACAAATGTCAGCACTGTTCACAACTTCGATTCATCAATCAAAACATTAATTAAAATTCAATCAATTTCAAATTCTACATCGAACACGATGGACAGAACGAAAGTTACGTTAATCACAGTTAACAAAGATAGCGCAGAAATTATAACGAGATTGGCGTGTACACGGAGACACCTTGTTAATGCCACCCGAGCTACGCAAAGTGTATTGGTTAAGAAGTAACGATGATTTACCTCGAGAGAGAGGAGTCTCATTGCAGCAATTGACAATGCGGGTGGACTTGCTCGACGTTCCACCCGCGACGACACGCAGCGGCAGGACTACGAGGGGATTCAATGTCGAGTCTAAAACGAGAAACCCATGATCACGTGCTACGAGGTCGAACTGAGAGCGCATCGTCGTACAGACGCTCTTCTACCTCGGTCCTTTTCACGTCGCATTACGCGTCTTTCTCTGGTCCGCTAGTCTATGGTGTCTACCTATTGGATTTCTTGATTCAGACACTGATTAGCGCCTGAAGCAAGGTCCCCAGAGAATTATGATCTTTTATGCCCTTCGTAGCCTGCATAAATGCTGAAGCATTTGATTTTAATTTTCAGTAGGAAGATGTTATGGTATATTTGGGACATTTGTCATTAAAAAAATATGGGGCGTTAGGGATGTAACTTGATTTCATAGAAAAATACATTCTTTATTTAGGTATTGTTTATATTATAATTAGGATAATTGATGTTTATTATAGAGTTTTAATGAAAAGATGCTTTATTGATTTTTCAATGAAACGATCTTCTTCGTTAATTTATCCAGATCAATTCCTTTTCGCAAAGCGTTGCAAGCTGCGCCTTATTCAGCATGAAATCAATACGTATACGCGAGCGCGAATGAGTTTCCAGTTAAATGAAACATGGCGCATTACAAAATTGCTTTTTATTCGCATTGTACTATCGAATACAATGTGTTTCAAAGCTCTTTCAAAGATATTGAAGTTGATTCTCTTCGGGGATAAAGAGATGAACGTGAAAGGAATCAGTTTCATACATTGCTGTTGCTAATTGGGCTAAGAATAATTTATTTTAATATTGTACATTATATTATTGTAATAATTACTTTACAAACAATAATCAGTATGTATTATATTGATCGCATATTATGAACAACTCTTTTTTCGATATCTTTTTACAAATGTTATAAAATTCAGTTCGATGAAAATAAACGATTACAATGGTAATGTTTATGACCGCGCGTTCAATTTCTGCCCTGTTTCGCGATAAAAAGTGCATTGTTCAAGAGATCCATCTTATGAAAATGCAAGATACGAGCGGGGCTCGGATATCCTTAAATCAATTAAGAAACAATATTAAAAATATAGTAAGCCTTCTTGAATTACACTTCCCGTTGGAGTATTATTGGCTTAGGATTCGAATTTTCTTTTAATTATACCACGTGTTCTTCTTAGAATGCTCCAGTTCTTTTCATTAATTAAAAGTCACTTTTAATCTTAAGATCTTGTATATTTGCCCCAGATGTGAAGCATGAACACAGATGCAATGAAAAGCAGGGACATCACGAGCACTGGCACTGGTCCTCTATAAACATATGTATATATGTTATCAATCAAATGCTTTTAGCTTTCATGTCAAATTTGTCAATTTATTTTTATTGTATTTTATATTGTATTGTCTTTATACATAATATTAATGTTCCAAAAACAAAATCTTGTTTACTTACACTTTGATGCCAGGGGAGTCATCTGTATAAAACCTCCACATACCATCAGAACCAGCACCTGTGTTTCTGCTTCTGGTAGCAGTAGTTGTAGTAGTTTTTCTTTGCCTAACAGTACCGCTACCACTTGTTCTAGGTGCTATAACTTTGCTCGGTGATCTACCCGGGTATCCGACCGAGGTAGCACTTGGTGCGGCAGGCTTAGAAAAGTAAACAAAATATAACCATAAATACCAGGAAAGAATTTTTAATTTCAAATTTTACTAAAATACATACCATTGTTTATTATACACTTTGATTTTTAACTTAAATTCGTGAATGAGTACCAGATGATCACGGGAACCTTGCTCTATATTAACCTGTTGTTTCTCCTGAATGACGCGAAATAAAGATTTCGCTTTACTTCACTTTTTTAGTATTAATATGGTTGTATAAATATATTTAATATGAAAGAAGTATTGCAATAAAATCACTGTTAGAAGTAGCGTTACGTTCTGACAACGTCTTCGAATTACTTAAAACGTTTACTGGCAGTATGAAGAAGAGTAGGAGGCGACGTGTCATCCATACACCATCCACGTAGTGTGTTCAAGACACGTCACCATGCGCCGTTAAATGCATAGGGAACGTCACATCGCTATGGCGCGTTTCCACGTAGTGTTTGAACATGGAAGAAATAAATACATAATTTCGAAATTAAAAACAATTAAATGAAATTCCATTATTTAAAATTTTTTCATTACTATGTACGTTCTCTCGTTGAACAAATAATCATTTTTAATTTCACTTGAAATATATAAAACTTTGTATAGGATATTGTAGGATATTTATTTAATATTTAACAAACAGAATTTCTTTTTCATATTTCGCTATATGACTCATCTTTTTGATAATAAATAACATAATTTTTTGTATCAGTAGAACTAATGCATGTAATTCGTCACACCGAAATTTTACACAAAAATCTTAAAGTACTAAGTGCATACATATTGGTTGCACACATAATAGTTTATAGTTTACAATTTTATTTAACTTTCCTCCTGTTAGTAGACTAGCTATAAAATTGTGATATATTTTAATATATCACAACTATCTCTTATGAATTGATTTGATATTTCAATTATGATTATGTTAGACATTTCAGGATATAAAAGAAAGTCATACATGTTACAGGAAATACAAATTTGTTTTTCTTATTCATTAGAACTTGTACAAATGCACTGGATAAAGTAAAAAGTTATAAAATACAAAATTTAATACTTCTATTGGTCTTAAAGTGTACAGTCTCAATGACTTTCATTTCACTTTAATAAAACTTCTCAAAATGCCCTTAAATGCAGTAGTTCAATGTATCTCAATACTTATTTGTGTAAATTATGTTTACTTATTAAAAGTATTGAAACAATGTTTATTGTATAATTGTTTCGTACAAATATTTATGATAGCATGCTGATATATTTGCGATAGAAAATTTTGTAAAAAGTATGTCGTGTATCTAAACTAGTGTAACTTCCATTTGCATTTTCATTATATTTTACAATACAGAAATACTTGAAGAATTAAAATATCTTGACTTTTATCCATATAATTATTTCTTTAATTCGAATCAATTAAGAAATACTTCTAAGTTTTTCATGTAAACAGATTTGCTTATGGAACTCGTTTTTTTGTATGTAAATACATACATAATGATGAGAAATATTCATATAGATTCTATGTAGCGTTTGGCACAAGTAATATTGATGAAAATTTTGATATACAACAGACGTTATAGAATTTGCATGTTTTTTAAGCACAATCATACATGGTTATCTGAGTTATTAGTTATCACGAATTATTAAAAAAACACTTACATACATTATCCTTATTAACAATAATGAACCATAACAGGGCTTTTATACACGTATATATTAATTTACTGTTTTAATACTCTATTTCTACTGCGATCAGAAATAGACACTATGTTTGCAAAGTAAATGTACGAGTTAACATTGTGTCTCTATTTCAACTGAAATTTTTAACACCCGTTGCTGACATACTTCATAAAATAAAATCATAAAAATTTTATTTCCTTGCGCGTGTAAAATTAACTGAAAAATACTTTACTATTGATGATAATCTAATACAATATTTGGTAGACATATAGTTAGAATAAATTGACTTTCTTAACATATAGAATGAAATAAATACTTTTCCTTAGACCAAATAGACAACTCATTTGGTAATTAACACGTTAAGCATCACCTTAGACTTTCCGTTTACGCCGCGTCCTTTAGGGTTGACTTGGGCCGTGGACTTTAGGATTATGCGACACCGCCGCGCGTGCATTGTTTAGCATTGTTCGGCATTGTTCAGCCTCGTTTTTCGTTTCCTTATCTTATGTTGTTAGCTCGCGCATCACACATGGCCTTCTCAACTTGACGGCAGAGTGCGGCGTGAACGGAACGCCAAGCAAAATAGGCTTGGCGTTTAACGTGTTAAGTACTGGTTACTCCTTTGCGGGCTACTAATAGATTTAATACTGGATGTTTCATAATATATGCTACTGCCTTTTTATGAGTTACCATTGTAAAGTCATATCCATTGCATTGTAAAATTTTATCATGCATACGGAGACCGCTCTTTGCTGCTGCTGATCCTTCATGTACTTCAGTTATATATATACCCTAAAACAATCCGTATAAATGATGCGAAACACATTTATATTAATATTACATTAACCTTTCTTACATTATCTGTATAGCCTTGCGGGCTTCTCCTGAAATCTTGATCAATTCCACCAGCAATTTTAAAACCACATTTTGTTACTTCCCCACCATTTTCATCAACTTCTGTTTCCTTGTGTAAAGTGATAGGTATCTGAAATGATAATATACATAGAATTAAAAAATTATCAAAGTTCTTCCATAGTAGATATTATCATGTAGATACAGTCACCTAGTTCAGAATAGAATTGTAATTAGGCATTAAGTTATTAAATTAATTATATGTTTCTGTATTTGCAAAACATGAGACTCTTAGAATTTATTTTAATTGAAATATACATACGCTTAAACATTCCATAGCAGTACCAGCCTGATGCTGAAAAGCCATTTTCGCGCACATAATGCTTTATCTCGTGCCTTCAAAGAATTCTGATTGTCAATTACTTCCGATGATTCAACGTGATCATCAATCGTACACACACTACATACGCCGCCTTAAAATAAAACGACTGAATAGGTGAACTTAAAAATTGATCATAAAACTTAATATAGGGTAATAAGAAAAGTTTATGTTCAATTTAAATATTTAATTATCTTATAACGCCATCAAAATCGCTGAGTTCAGCGAATTCAGCGTTCTAGCACGTTCTAGGCAGTTAAAACAATTTCGTTCTCACGTTGACCAATGACTATAGATCCAACAAGGACTTAATTATTTTGACAACCGACTTTCGAATCGAACTCGTTATTCATTTTACTGATTAATTAACGATCCGACTCGCTTTAGCGACTAACTATTCATTTGAGAAAATTTTTCTCGAATACCAAAGTGCCTCCTATGAATTAGGCATAATGCCTGCTGGCTCGAGGCACAGTATAAGCGCAGTGGTATAAGCTCGACGGTAAGTACCCCCTGTGGCTCGGGGGAAGTAGAATACGGCCACGGTATCCCCTGCCTGTCGTAAGAGGCGACTAAAAGTGGGATGTAGCGAGTGAACTAAAAGTAATGCAAAGAGTGAGAGAGATATTGTAAAAGACAAAGCGAAAGAAAGAATGTACGGAGAGACATTAAGATTTAAAGAAAAGAGTTTAAAAATGCGCGAGAAAAAGGATTGGCGTAAGTAATTACTGCCAACCTTGTCTAAGCGCGGGGACGAAAGAGTTCGTTGGGCAAAAAGGAATAGTTAAGGTCCCTATAGTCATAGTACGCCGCCCTCGCAGCAATATCCCAAAATGAGGGAAAGGCTAAACTTTACTGTAGCGGATACAAAATTATCCACTTTTTTCTCATCAATCTAATAGTTTTCGATGCGTAGAATCCAAAAATGCAGGTTTTAACTGTCGAAATGCAGCGGTTTAAAAGTTATGAATGTGTAAAGTTTGACACTTTTAGTGCATTTGCTACGTTACTGCGACGCCATATTGGCTTCTGGTCCAATGAACGGTGTCGCTAGCTGCAGACAGCAGGTGCCGACCACTTTAGTGAGTGTAGTCAAACCGTAAATTTGATGTTGCCTGAGTTAGTTAGGTTTATATTTATTTTAGAGAGAGAGAAAGTACAGCCCATGCAGTTGCTTATTGCTTCTACTGTATCAATTTTATGAGTAATTTAAATACAGCTACTGATGGAATCCGTACCCAAAAAAATTTACTGTCCCCAAAAGTAAAGTTTAACTCCCATAATCACGACCCCTCGAGAACAAAGTCATGTATAGTCTTCCTCTATCTGTAGTCTGCTGTAACAGTGACTATAGATAATTGCTGTTTTTAGTCACTGTTGATACGCGTTTGTTTCAGTTGCGTTTGAAATTTAAAATCCACGATGGGTATTTCAGGATTAACTACATTCATAAGCAATGGCTCACATCGTTACTTAGAATATTACGAATTGCATGATACGTATTTGGTAATTGATGGTAACAATATTCGCTGTCAACTATATAATTCGTATGTGAAGTGTAATTGTGCCTTCGGCGGCGATTATGATAAGTATGCACAATGTGTATCAGATTTTTTTGATAATCTATTAAAATGTAATATAACACCATTGGTTTTATTCGATGGGGCTTATGAGAATAAAAAAATGAAAACTACTATAAGTAGAATAAAGCAAAAGATCCATAGAGCATCGTCTTTTTGCCCTCGCAGTCAAGAGAGAATGAAATTTTTCCCTCTATTTTTAACCAAAGTATTCAAAAATGTTTTGGAAGAAAAAAATATTCGTAACATGCAATGTTTATTTGAGGCTGATAATGCTATAGCCTCGGTGGCAAAAATTTTAAATTGTCCTGTACTCAGCTATGATTCTGACTTCTACATATTTGGATCATTATACATACCATTTAATACATTAGATAAATATGCAACCAAAAGTGGAACAGAAAAACGCTATATGATATGCTGTCAAATTTATAGAACTGAGCGCTTATTGAATTCTTTTAAAGGTTTAGATGAATCAATGTTACCACTGGCAGCGATACTCTTGGGTAATGATTATGTAAAACGTGGTACATTTAAAAACTTCTTTCGTCATTTAAAACTACATGGAGTATCAAGGAGTAAACATAACTACCAACAACGTCGTATACAAGAAACCTTCACTTGGTTAAGCAAATATACATTGGATAAAGCTATTGCAGGAATTTTAAGTAGATTAATCAAGCCTATACGACAAAGAATACTGCACTTGATAGAGACTAGTATAAACAGTTACACAAATGCATCTACCGAAATACTTATTCCATTAGGTTTTTCAAAAGACTATGTTGCCCAAGTAAATAGCCATCATTTAAATAGAATTTTCAAATATGATGGTGATATTGATAGCTTAACATATATAGAAGAAATTGATGAAAAAGATGGCATTGACACAAGCGAAGAAGAGGAAGAAGAAGAAGAAAATGTTATAATGAATGAGTCTGAATCAATGTCCAGTAATGCACTTGTCAGTAATTTACCTGTATGGTTTATAAATGAACTTCTAATGGTTAAACACCCGCCATATTTTCTGGACTTAATACTTCGACGTGTATATATTTGTACTCCACAAATAGAGGACTGCAATTATCCTTCAACCGTTATGATATCTTCAAGAATTATTAACGTTATATTTGCACTTCTAAAATCAGCAGTAAACGATGAAATACGTTATATGAGCTATATAACCAGAGGTAAAAACGATTCGATAGCACGTTATGAATTAGAATGTACAGGAAGTATAGTTTCTTGTGCACTTCCATCTTTGGCTAATCTAAGAAACGTGCCATTAACTATTAGAAAAGAGATTTTTAATGATACATTAGAAGTTGCAGAACATATGGAACATATAAATGAATTTCCATCAGAATGGATATTATATATAATGTGTATAAAATATTGGATGAAACACCATGATCCTTGCACATTATTATACAGTTGTGCATACTCCCTATTTGTTTGTATGTTATTTCATGTAATAGACATAAAAATCGGGAAATGTAGAGTTGCAGCCAATTTTCAACGTAAATATAGTAAAAGGCTTCAGTATATAGAAGAGGAAAGAAAAGCAAATAGTTATAAACCAAATTATTCTATGGATGTTACAATTACTGAAGCCCTTAATGAAGTCGATCCTAATGATTGTATACTGGCAGCGCCTTTTTTCATTTCTCATTTTGAAATGGATACAAAATTGTATTCAAATCCAAAGAAATTTAATAAATTTATAGTTCACATATTTGCAGGGTTTCAAAATTGTTTAAAACACGGTATGGATTTGAATACACTTTTAGGAGAGCCTTATCCACCAACTAATATTGCTAATTTATATAATGGTACCTTACTGTACAATTTATCTACTAATTTTCAATCGCGGGATGATATTGAAAGATATATAAATACTATGTTTCATAAATCACCAAGCCTTTTAAGGGTCTTTAATATATTTTTGGTAAAAATAAAACTCTTGTTTCCGTTAATCCAGGAAGTTAAATCTCGCAAAAAGCACAGAAAGCATAAACGTCAAAAATTAAATGATAACTTGGATAAAGATGATTCGGAGTACTATAGTGCTGAGGAAGACTTAGCTGAAACAGAATTTCGTGATGTAAATAATCGATTTTGTTCATTTACTTCAAACTAAATACTTTTTATAAACCAAATACTTTTTATAAACTAAATACTTTACTGTAAATACTTTTTATATTTTATATAAAAGTTGAAACCCTACGAGTTGTATGTATATGCATATGTAAAATGTAACAATGCGAGGTACACTCGTAAGAATAAATTAAAGATCTATCGATGTACAAATTTGCATTCGAGTTATTTCATTTTATTATACTATTCCTATTTCTTCTTGGAAATAGAACGTTTCGGATTTTGATTTTTGCTTTGTGAAGCATTTGCTCTAGGATACTGGAAAGAATGTTTAATTAATTTCCATAATTGTAACATGCAATAAAATTTTAAATTACATTTTGATACATTTCCCAAAATGCAGTAAACATTGTTTTAAGTATATTTGCTTCTTCCCTCAGAGTAGGCAGGCAATAATCATCTTCTCCGTGTTTTATTATTAATCCAACATGAACAGCGCAATCCAATTTCTTTTTCAATTCTTCAGTGAATGTTTTCAAATTACTATCAATCGGGTAACGATGACGTAGATATTGACTGATAAGAGTTGAATTAACATAAACTTTGCGTAGTTGTAACTTTTTAACTGCTAAACGAATCATTTGCGGGGTTACTGAGATATGACCTCCTAATAAATTTTTAAATGTTATAGTTTATATAATATTTATGTGTTTCTAAAGAATAACCGTATAATTTTGCACTCATTCTTACGTGATTTGGGCGAATGATCATTATTAATACATTTTTTAGACGAATTAAACTTCTTTCTTTTACAATATTCTGAATCTGAGTACATTATTTTGTTATAAAATTATGAATCTTGAATTAATACTAAAATTTTTAAGTAATTGTTCTGTTAAAATGTATTTTAATTAAGAAAAAAAAAATGAATACTATTAATATGAAACTTTCTTTAAATATAAAATACATTATTTTGCGCAAAGTTCCTTATAATTTATTTGTATACATGCTATTTATTTGTCACAGTGTTACATCTTACAATATTAATAATAATTTGTTAATAAAAATAATGAGCCAAAATAATGCAGACATTCAAAAATACGTATTAAAAGTGCTACAAGGAAATATATTTTTAAAGACTATGTATACAATTCTTTTAAACGTATAAAATAACATTTAGCATTTAACATTTAACATTTGGAATTTATAACAATTTCTATAACCATTTTTTAAATACATATATCTTATTTTAATAGTTTGGTATTGTAATATTAAATCACAAAATATTTCAAATAGTTATAATATGATTTGTAATATAGAAAGAATTTGTGAAGTTAAATAAATTATAGTATAAAAATATCAGGTACTCTACGAAAAATATTTGAAAACGCATTAAACATTGCGGGATGTAATTTATTTCCACGTGTTAAAATTATTCCAAGTTTAAGAACAAATTATATCTATTCATAATAAAGGATAATTTTGCATACACGAAACTAAGTAACAAGAATAATTATAAATTTTTGTGCAAAATATACTTTTGGTACAAATATATCCCAGTAACCAATTAAAATTTGGTTCAAGTTTAGTAAAAAAATTATATAATAGAATTTAATCGTTTAAACTATTTAAAAAGTTTATTAGATTTATAGCTAATTGCAGTGCTCTAGGAAACAGGAATAACTGTATAAGAAAACCTGCTATAGACAATAAAAGAAATAGATCTATATTAATAATAAATGCAACTTTATATAAAAAAGAAATTGCTGTTTTTTGTTCTGTTAAATTATCACATTGTATTTCTCCTAACAAAATTATATTCTAAATATAACACATTAAAATGTTACCAAAACGTTGAATTTTATTATACATAATTCTTTTACTAAAAGCAAATATTGCTTACTATTGTTAAAATGTTAAAATTTTAACATACAAACATAAAAATCCAAATAAAATATTTGAATTGGCATGTCATTGTTGATACAAGTATTTTATACTGTCTATCTTAGTTTGATATGATATATCATAAAATTTGACAACTAAAATTATTTCTTCTTTCAAAGTACTTATTTTAAGATAGAATTATTATAACTTGACATACTTTTATTATAAGAAAAATTTAGAACATCGAATCAACGTATAATAAGTTTTAAAGTTATATGAAACAGCAAATTTTGTATATACAATAAGACATAATCAAACAATTTAAACTATTAAAACACAGAACATTATCAATACAGATCGTTTAAAATGATGCGATTATTATAAAGTATTGCAATCAATGTAAAGGAACAATAAAAATCAAACTAATAGTTTGTACCACAATTTTGGACGAAATTTTAGTTTAGCACTAATGGATAATCTTAATAGGAATTTTTCGTCACTTATAACTGGTTAATAATATTTCCAAGTTACAATCTGATTCTTGGTAACCGCTATAAAATTGATTCTGAAAGTGGAAACTGCAATTAGCTTTTTCTATGCTTGCCATAATTCAAGTATAGTTACTGTGTATAACAATAAATGTTATATTTTTAAAGTAGCCTTATTATTATCAATTACACTTAACTATTGAGCGCCTGTAATAAGGACTACAACATTATTAGAATCTTTGAATAAATATGTAATTATCTTTCGTGCATTAGCATATAAAGTAGTTATATACATGATAAGCTCAAAGAAATTGTAAATACAATCCCTTTACCTTGTATAGTTCATTGCTGTAGTGAGGACCGTTTTAACGAGGATTAAAAGCTTTACACTAATCACTAAAAAATAAATCTTTACATTTATACACTTAAAGAACATATTATATTACAAAGCATTAACTGAATCACTTTAAACTATAAAGATTGCACTGTAATTATGGATAATTCCTTAAAAGCCCTGATTCCTTTTTTTTTTGTATACTATTATTCAGTGATGTTCTACCAAAACAAGATACATCATTGCCCTCACCGAAAATACTTTTAAATTAGGTACTTCTAAGTTTAGGATTCTTTCCCTTAAAAGCTTTTTACATAAAAAAGCCGATAATTGAAATTGAGACAAGATAAATAACATGTACAATTTACACTACAATCTTATTATCGTATTTCTCAACCCCCGTTAGGTTTTTCATTCCATATTTTTACAAAATATTGAACGGAAAAAACAATTACGATAACAAGAATCGTATCTATGAAACTTTTTAGCATACTTATACTATGATGTTGATCACCTTGTTCTCTTTGTTTAATAGCAAGCTGTTCTAGTATATGTTGTATACGATTAAGTTTATCCCCGTATCCCAACATTTGTCTTTCTACGTCTTTAACAACATCCATTATCCTAAATAGAAAGTGATTTTTTTTCTTTACAAAAGAATTTGTCTTTACCACGTTACTATGTAATGTTATAAAATTTACCTTGCAGTAGAACGTTTCCTTTTACCTACTGATTGACTAGAATCTGAATGCACCTCAGCAGACGAACTTCCGGAATCGTGTGCTGTCTCTGTTAATGGTAAATTACTGGATAATTGTCTTTTAGAAGATTTTAGTACGGAGAGTGAAGAACGAGATTCAGCTTGAAGAAGGGGAACCTTGAATATAAAACGATACATGTTAATCATATACAGTAAAACCTCTGTAAGTCGTCACCCGGATAAGTCGTCATTTTCCTTTTCTCGTCATTTTAAAATTTGCATGGTTTTTACTCCGTTTAAGTCGTCAAAATTTCTCGGTCCCTTGAGTGACGACTTATCGAGGTTTTACTGTATTTAGTTAATTAATATTTCTACTTCTGTACCTGTGATTGTGGGTCAGCAGACACGATACTACCAGTACGCATGATTGGCGTTTTATGTCTAGTTTTCGTACGAACTATATAATCTTGTTCATACTGAACAACATCATTTCTAGGATCCCATGGCCGAACATCCGCGTGTCGATATACCCAATTACCCGTTATAATATCCTATTGTAAATCCATCTCAATATTAGTTGAAAACTTATCTGTTAACTTGTAAACATAATATTCATTATTCAATACCTGAACAAAATATTTGGGAACCCATTCTAGTCCCTTAAGTTTTCGTTCTTTAGCACGTTCTCTCTGTGCTTCCTCTAATTGAGTTTTTGCTTCGGTAGCAGCTATTTGATCATCACCATTTATTGCTTGCGTAACATCATACCATAACTTCTCACTTTCCCATGGACCTTGATTTTCCAAGGGAACAGTATACTTTTTCAATCTCTTTTTACGCACCTCTGCAGTTGGATTAAAGAATACACTTTCTTGCTGTAAGATCAATTGATGCAGTAACTGATTTATTGCATATGTAATTAGAAATATTTGGATTCAACGTACTCCTGTTCTTTTGTCAGTAATTAGTATCTGACCGTCCCAGTAACCGGATATAGTAGCAAGAGTTTCTTTTCCTAGACGTATCCAACCTGCAACTTGATTCATTTGCTCTGCACCACCAAGAAATGGCTATCAAACAAGTAGCAAGTTATTTTAATATTCATATTCTTAAATTATATAATATAGCATGTTACCTTAAGCTTAAATTCTAATTCACTATGGTAACCCGTCTTCTCGCATTTTATTTGAACTTTTCCACCTAGTTCCATGGATAATGTACCCATTAGGATACCTTTGCAATGAGCATAAGGTATTGTCATTGTGTAATCTTCTCCTCTAGGTAACATTGTTAATATTGCAACGCCATCTAATACTGCTGAAGTTGAATTTCCTAAAGGAAGATTATATATTCTTAATTAATAAGACGGTCCAGTGTGTTTTATTTTCTATGTATTTACCATAAAATTTAGATTTAGCAATGATCGTAGCGCTTATAGTAAATCCATCTTGTCGATTTGTAACATAGAATCCTGATATAGGAGGATGATGAGATAACTGTGAAAGTAAAAGTTTCATAAAATAAATGTATTTATGATTACATAATGATAATAAAAATCTTACTTGTTCAGCTATATAGAAAGTTCTTGAACCATTAGGATGCTGCCAATAACAGCGGAATGTTTCACCTAAAAGTGGATTGTATGGCTTTTTCAAACCCTGAGGTTTCTTGTAAAATCCAGACAAGTACCATTGAACTACTCCCTTCATTCGTGTGAACGCATCGTCTTCTACTACTGCTCTGTAAAAACGAAAAACAAGATGGTAATTGTACTTAAATACATTTTAAAGTCAGTTTATATTTATACCCACTGAGACAATAAATCTGCATGATAATAAGAATCAGCCAACTTTTCCAAAAACGAACGAGGTTCTAAAATAAAGGTAGGTAAGACCACCTTTGATAAATCCATCCCTGGCCGAACTTGTTTCATTAAGAACCATATTAGAGACTTTTGTTCTTCTTGCAATTCTGTAACCACTTCTCCAGCCTGTATATTTCCCATGATCAAATTAAAGTTACACGAATAGAAATATTATAAAAAGAAGATATTGATTATTTTACCACTCCAAGAATTTCTTGTTCATTTGCAACGTAAGGCGTTTCATTAATGGTTTCAGGTTGATCTTCTTTAGCCGATCCTTCGGACTCGCTATCCGAGGCACTGATTTCTGCATCAGCTGCTACTCCATTTTCTGGTTGGCTAATATCGTCCAGGTCTGTATGTGAGGATTGCATAGGATCTAGCGTTACTACATGTGCGGTATCATATTCAAGGACATGTATAGAAGGGACAGTCATACGCCGAGTAGAAGATGGAACAGATTTGGAAGTAGACTCAAAATGAGATATGTTAGAGTAAATATCTCTATCACCCAATGCATTTACAGAACTTGAAGATATAATTATTTCAGTATCTGTTGTAGGTGATGGAGATCTATCACGGAACTGTTTATCCCAGTATGCAATAGCGTGGTACAATTGTTGAAACATTGGAGTTGGCGAAGGGCAAACACTTTCAGGATTGTTTGTCGTACAAGGTGTAAGTGGTTGAGGACACGACAACAAACGCCTTTGAAGTATTGTAGGAGAACGCGGTGCATAATTAGATAAGCATACTGTGGATATCAAAAGCAAGTATTTAAGGTGACAAATGTCAGGAAGGGGGCAATAATAATATTGTAATTAATATCAATAGCATTCAAGAACAGAACTTAGCTAAGTAGTTTTGTAACTCTATTAAGGTTGATAATAGAGAAGAATTTAATATTTTACTTATTCAATGTGAAAATCATCTCATCTCTCACACCAACTGTTATTTTATATAGCTTACCATGCTCGTCAAAATGTTTTTCATAATCTGCTTCACTCCATTGAGTTTCATGGGTAGTAGTAGTATCATGTGGCAAAGCACGTGGTAATGCACTTGTCGAACGTACTATTAACGAGGAACAACGCAAGGATAGTTCAAGTGCATCTAACCAACATTTACCAGCAGCCTGCGAAGGAGCTCTAAAGATCAAGTAAGATGTTGGCAATGGTTGTACAACAGCACCTAAAAATATTGCTCGTATAAGGATATATTTCTTACTTAATTCACAAAGAATTTATTATTTACCAATGGATTCTTTTTCTGGGCCTCTTGGAGCCCATATCGATTGTTCTAAAGGATGAAATAATTTAAAACAAAATCCATCCTTTTTGCTTGGACGCTCTATCACTTGACATGTATTAAGCAAAACCGTTCCCACCCAATGATTGCTCTGCAATAATTATGTGGACATAACTTTGAATGAAACAAACAATTATTAAGTTAATAATGGATATAGATGAGCACTTTTGTTTTTGGGCTTTTGTACAGTAGTAGCAGGCCAGGTTTTAAAATACACCACAGTTTTGTCCAACTTTTTAACGTTCCACGAACTTTCAGCCAATCGCTCATAACAATGACAGTTGGATCCTTAAATGAACTTAAGAGTTCATTGGCAACTCTCTTCTTCTCCATTCGATAATTTTTTCTCTGAGCCTTGTAGGATTCTTTTCTTGTTAATTTACAGGAATCTAAAGACTACAAAATAGAATGGAAAATATGTTATAATTAGTAGTTCAAAATAACAAGGTAAATGGTTGAAAGTCATAAATTATGTACCTTATCAGATGCATTATCTGTTTTTTGATTAGTTTCACCCATTGCAGTTAGTCCTATAACACAAATTAATCAAACCATTTGCTTGAGTAACATTCAGGTAAATATTATCATCATACATATTAGCAAAATGGTAATATAACTCTGTTTATTAGAATGATGTTAATGAGAAACTTTATTCAGTCTTTCTTATTGAAATACCTTGTGAGATGATTAAAACAAACTTATTATTATTTAAGAAAGTATACGATAAAACATTGACGAATGAGATGCACCTAACTTTTTACAAGATACAGTGATAATTTTGTATAATAAATATTCTTAACATAATCCATTATGCAGTTAGCAATTTTTTATATTATGAAAATTATTAACTCTTTCTTTATTACTATATTAAAAAGCTATACTTAATACTATATTATCATTCCTATTTAATGTAATCACAAATGAAATAGAAATCAGTAGACGAAATATATTATATTAATGTAATGTTTATACATTCTATGTATAATTATGGTATAAAAATATTGCTCACTTATGATTTACATTCACAGTATTATATTCAATGCATATATTCAGTAGCTTATCGCTGAAGAAAAACTAAACAATGTACAAAGATTACATTACAAAAATTACAGATTTCAATATTATGTGCATAATATAAGATAATTGTAAGCTGAACAAGAAATCAAAAATGCAGTTCTTTGTAACTAATCAACTACTTTCATAAGTAAAGATTAGTATCGATTCATATAAAAATGGAAAAGCACCTGACAAATTCTTAAATAATGGAATTATATTTATACCTGGAGAAAGTGGAGGCGCAGCAGTTGTTAAATTTACGCATGTTGCTATCGACTCTGTTGATGGAAGATTAGGTAATGCTGCAGATTGAACTTGACCACTGCTTCTTCGAAGTTGTTGATCCACTGGTTCTATATATTTAGTTTCTTTTCAGTCATGGTTATTATTTACTGATTTATTTACAGTTAGTCAAAGAATTATATTTTTCAACTTCATCTACTGTTACAAATTACAAATTTTTAATGTTCCAACTATGTACTATTTAACAGCAAATATACTAAAATTACACCATATTATATTACACCAATTATTAATATTAGTTCTTGATGACCATTATACAACACATAATTATATACAACATAGCTTCAAGTTTCAATTGAATTCATTCATATAATTACAGAAGCAAAGAAATTTTACAGTAAACAAATATGAATACATGCTATACAAATGAAAATATGTAACTTGATTACAAAACTCGCATACATTAGGTAAGATACATTACTGAAATACATGCAGATTACAAGAAATAGCTGTAGTAGTGAATTTATTTGTAAATACAAATACATGCACTAAGTATACTAGAGCGTAATAACTACACTTAGATGCACTAAAGTATTTCGTGCATATTCATACTTTTTATAACCTTCTCTAATTTATATGTACTTTTCTCTGAACACACTTATGGATACACGTAAATGTTGTATAGTACAATATAGTAAAAAGTGAATAATATGCTAACAGCATGAATGTATTATGTTAATCTAATACATCGAATAAAATGGTATTTTAATATATCTGATACTACGGAATATATTTTTGAGATACTGAAATAAGTAATATTGATAAATGTTATTTATAAATTGTTTAATAATGCTGAATGATGATACAACAAATGATTTGAAATAAAGGAATACTAATAGCACGTGTAACATGAAAATAGGATGTTATACATATGTATATACTCGTATCTACCCATTGATACTATAATTCTAATACTGATGCTTACTACTGTATACACATAATTCATGTTAATAAGCCTACCTAGCTTACTTGGTAATGTATCAGATCCACTGTCACTGATACCTTTAAATGGCAATTATTTACAGCATAAATACTTCAACAATTAACAAATTATTAAAATAACATCTTTAGTCAACAACATTTTACAAACATATACATATGTTTAAATATTATAAGTTAAATATAAATATATCAGAAATAATCACTAATACAGAAATAAAATTTCATAAAGGACATTACAAAAGAATTTTTGTGTGGTTGTATAATTAGCATTACATAAGTATGTATTAAACCAAAAATTGATTAACACCTTAGTACAATTGTTTCTGTCATTCACAAATAGCTTTTCCTTCAAAAAATATTAATCTTTAACAACATATAACAATTCAAACTTTAATAAATTGAATTATACTTACGATTACTAAGTGACCTGCTAACATTTGGTGGTGTCATAGTTTTGAAAGAATCAGAAGTACTTCCAACAGACACGGAGTAAGTTTCCGGTTGAGATCGATGTTCACCACCAGGTACCACAATTGGTTGAGAGCTCATTATGGATCTATCCTATTAAAAATGATTAATGAATAAAATGTAGCAAACGGTAATAAATCTCAATGTATTTCTAAGCAAAGAAAATATATATACAACATAAGATAAATTAATACACACAACGTCTGTAATTAATAATCACAATTTCAATACAAATTATATAAATCATGATAAAAGTGGCCTTCAAAATGCAGGTGATCAAAAAATGCTAGGTAATGATAATTAAATATCAAAGTCAATTTATATACACACATCTTTGGAAAACAAGTAACGTATACAGAGGATAGTAAAAATCAGTAAGTAGAAATAAAAATGTATAAATGTTGAATATGCAAACCAAGCCTATAATTTAGCTCTCTTCTAAGCATGCTATCCAAATTATAAAATAGTTTTGTCATCATGGTAAATTATTTGATACAACGTATATGAGAAATATTATATAAAACATTTATAACTCACTTGATACCGACACAACTGTATACCCAGTCAATACTTGTGTATTACGAAGATTACGCTAAGAGAAATATCTTATAAATTATAGTGATCAAGAGAGCAAACATTGAATTCATTATCGCGTACGAGATCAAAATTTTTCAATCCAATGCACTTTATCAATTAAGCTATTTTTCACTGATGTAATTACAAATATTCGAAGCAAAAAAGCGATTATAGATGGACGTCAGGAGCACGACGGCGCGAGCGCGAAGTCCGATGTTCCATTGATCACTTACTGTTATAGCTTAATTATAAACATATGGATCTGCTAAGTTATTCACAGTGAAAAGGTACGATGAACAAAACTTTGCAAATGCATCTTTTATTACTGATGCATAAACAATGCAATCAATAACGCATAACGAAAGATACGTAGTTTTTGAAACAGCATGACCTTTTTACTATAGTACATAAGTATATAAGAATGCATTAGTGTGATCCAATAATTAATCAATGAAATATTTCATAAGAACAAAATTGTTACATTTTATATAAAAGCTTAAGATATATTTTCTTTCTATATATGCATGTAAGTGCCGAATTTTAGCCAAAATCAATTTTAGAAATTTGCGCGTGATCAAATAACGCCGCGATAGAACAAAATTATTGACGTAAATACGTAATGCATACACGTTGCTGATATTATTTCAAATATAAATAAATATTGTATTATTTTTTAACAGTACAGATTCACAAATTGAATAAATTTTATACTTTTGTTAATTCTTAATTTAAAAATCATAATTGTGAACTTATTTACCAGAACTTATTGATGCCCATGTGTACCTTCACATGTTACGTTGTAGAAATAAATAATGAAGAAATAAATTATGTATAAGTGGAATTAATCGTATTTCTTTTAACTTTGCAGAGAAATTAAAGAGATCGATATTCAAAATGGCACAGTCTCAACATGAAAAAGAAGAATTGTATGATTCTTATACAAAAGCTGCAGCTAGTATCATTTCTTATTATGGTAAGCTTTGTCAGGTTAGGTGATCAAACAGCCAGTGTTTATTACATATATATACATTCATGTATTTTGTGTAATTTTCAATTTTATCTTTATAGAAATGCCAGAGAGAAAGGAAAAATTAAAAGAACTAAGGGATATTGTGCAAAACAACTGTGTTCAAACTGAAAGATTAAAAGCAGCAAAAGATGTGAAAAAACGATTATTAGACTTATATGGTCTTGAGGATGATGACCATGGACAGACCGATACTGAACAAATTATCCAAGTAATTGTATTATCATTAGAATACTACAATGTTATCGCAAAAGTAAGAACATATTTTTTTAAATTTCAGGAATATAAAGAGGCCATATCAAAAATTAATGTGGATGTATCAAATGATAAAAAACTTATAGAATTTGATAAACATGTAGAAGCATTATCAGGTAAGCCACAACTTCCAATAGTATAAATTGATACTTTCATTTATTTTATAAGAAATATTTAATTTGTCTGTATTTCCTAAAAGATAAAGTAGAAGATGATGGTGACACAGATGCAGAAATGCAAATATCAGGAGGGTACATAAATGTAATTGATCCAATTACTAAAAAAAGGATTGTTGACCCTGTAAAAAATACTATATGTGGCCATACTTACGATCGAGATAGCATTACAGAAATATTGAAATGCAACAAGAAAACAAGGTATATATTTTATTTGGAAAATTCGCTATTAACAAATGATATTAATTATGTTGCTTTCATATTTGCAGGTGTCCTGTTGTGGGTTGCAAAAATAACGAATTCGTAAAACTATCGCACCTTCGTGTAGATATTGTAACAAAAACATATCTTGAAAAAAATCCTACATAATATTCACCAAATTAATTATATAAGTAGGCTACTATTGCAACAATATTTTTCTGATTAGACCATTGCAGTATGTTGGTGTTGCTCCAAGTTTAGTTTAAGTCCAAGAGTACAATTAAAAAACGTATCTCTTAAAATGGTATTAATACAATGTGATATGTATTACATAAGAATATTCATATGCATATTAAATAAAGGTATATCTTATTTTCTATCTTATTTCTAATTATACTTGAAATGAAATAAATAATGAAAGTGTATATGAAAACCATTAAAAAACTGAACAACTTCAAGTTATTACAGTTTTGTTTAATTTGTATCATCACCGATCGATGATGCCAACGCTTAGGCTATGTTTATATTCACGTTTGTATGGATAGCTTTAATTATCTCCACTGGAAAAGCTCGCCGTAGCGTTGACGGACTTAATTTGGACATTAGCAGTTGGAGCCCGTTTCTGTTCAAAGAACCAGATGAATTTCCAAATTACGATATAACACGTTGGGTGCGACGATTACATCTGCAACAGTGTGCCATCGTAGAAATCGGCGAAGGATTTTGTGCTGTAAGCAAAAGAAACACTTGTATCCTTGTTTTGGAATGATCGTGATAAAAGCCAAGTCATGGTGTGAAACACGCTTAGCATATGAGACGAATATTATAATCACACAAAGGGAAAGGCAAAAGTTGCGTGCAATACAAGTTCTATTTAATATTTAGTTGTTCGTCGAATTACGTAGCATACCTTCGGAATCAAAGGTTCTGGACAACTCTGGAGTTGGAGAATTCTTCCTGGGTATCTGTCCCTGTTTCACGCTCCACACCTGGAACTTGTGCTCATTTGAGCTGACCAGCCAAAGGAAAGGGGACTGTACTTTCAACGAGGCTACTCCACACTCAAACACCAGTGCAAGAGTTCACCGGCGATTTTGCGACGTGACATTACTTGTCGAAAATGCAACAAACTGTAACTGCTCTATAACGATAGCTGGCCAAGCGTTATATAAGACAAAAGGTTGTGGTCCACGCTTAACCACCGATTTCTATGCCATCGTAGCTGATTAGAAATTCAAATTAACAATATCATTTATAGGATTTCCTACGTGCTTTTTGAATCCGTTGCCGGAATCTCTGTGCTCGCCGCGCAACGTTTGCGGCATTGCTAGATGTTCCGGTACCACGATCAAAGGAATACATACTCCTCAATGCGCCACTAATTGCCATCAGAGACAGCCAGTAATGTTATTTGCTTTTAACATATATTGCTTTGATGGTATATTATCTACTTGGAATAATTCAATATAATTAGCTAGTATAAATTATTTTATTTTATTTTATTCAATTTCTAAGTTAACAAAAATTGTACGAGATTCGTGGGGCTTTCAGTTCTGCGAAGAAATCGGACCATGGACTTCAATTCCGACGGAAATTAACTCCCTATGGTCGCGCTGGTCTTCTCCGAAGTGCAACAACACGTGCGGCAATGGTTTCATGGTAGCCGTAGCATCGTGCCAAGATCAAGTAACGTAAATAAAAACGAAGACATCGACTCTAAAAATAACAATTCATTTATTAATTAAAAAGTATACATAATATTTTTGAATACTATATGATTTATTAAAATCTTATATGTTTCCCAGCGGAAAACCAGCCATAGATTGTATCGGTCCAGGATCATTTTGGTGAGCCACAAGTTATTCAAGGGAGTCCCCTTGAATAGTTTGACCATGACGAAAGGTGTGAACTTTTCCAGTTGCCCGGATAGCATCGGTAAATGTTACTGCGAGGTAAACATCGTCGATGGAATAATGAGAGCGGCCAGGTTCACAGAACCTTGCATTTCTACCGAAGGGTGTACCATAAGCGACGTTGGAACGTTCACTTTCGAAGGAGAACACGATCCTGGTAGCAGCATCGACTTCGAAGAAGCTTATGAAAACGATGATCGTGAAAGGTTTGAAGGTACTAAACTGTTCTGTTTACAGTGTCAAAGTAATCAATAAGAATAAGATTTTTATTTAATTAAGATATTATCAAATGAACTGAATTCTAACAAAATTACTTGAATTTCCAGATACGATTTACTACTCAGAATCGGTACGAGCAGGAAAGCGTCATCTCCTGCAAGCTTACAGTCACCGTTCCATGCTGGAATACGAGTCACGCGAAAATAGACCATCAAACGAAAACTTGAAGAACGAGCGTGGATATCGTTCCCTTCTCAGAAGCCGATTGAACGGTGATGCCGGCTACGACGCCCAAGTGCAAGAGGAGGATAACGAAGAGGACGAGGAGAAAGACGAGGACAACACCGACTACGACGAGAAGGCTGACGACGAGGAAGAGGACGAAGAAGAAGGAGACGAGACGGTGAACGACGATGAGGAGGCAGCTGACCATTACGATTACGGTTAGTACTTTAGGCGTAAATCTTTTCCTGGCTTTTCTAGATCGGCTTCAGAGGCTCCGCGAAGGGTCGTCGGAGCCCGAGGAAACATATTCGCGAGGCGAAGTCCGATTACGGGACGGTTGGCCACGAGGGTAGGCCAGAGGTCGACGAACTCGAGAAAGCGCCAATGGAGATCAGATCCGTTACGGAGGAGTGTGACGATGATACCACGGAACCGCTGCAGTATTACGATTACGGTGAGGAAACCGTCGAGGAGAGTAGCGTCGAAAATTCTTCGCTTCGTTAATGCCTTTCGCTTCTGTTAAACAAGAAAGATTTTAAGAAGTAGATATGAACAATGGAGGAAGGAAACATGATTTTTTTTATTATCATAAATCTGTAAAACTTGTCCAAGTTCAATTAATCTTTGTATACAATCGATATTCCTGTACAATTGTTGTTAAAAAAAGAAATTACCGTGTTCTTTTATAGATGCTGGAGGGAATGCAGTATTAAATATACGAGCTGCGTTTGCCTTGAAACTGGTAACAGTGAACATTTTACTCTGGTTCTCTTGGTATTAATGGAAAAACGTAATGTAGATGAAAGATAGCTATTTCCCTGGCCTTGAAAGAAGTATAATGATCTGGACAGAAGTTTCTTGATACGCTGGAAACTGCATAAATGAAGATACATTTCAATTCATTGGAATTATGAAACACAACGTATTTCTAATAAATACAATTACAAAACTAACGCGTAATTGCGATAAATATTTATGTTACTCAGAGACAATGACAATAGATTTATGTAATTTTTAAACAATGTGAATCAATGAAAATACAAGAAAGGAAAGAACTGTTACGTATAAAAGTCATTGGACTAAGCGATCTTCTAATTATTTTAAGGAACAATGTATAAAATTTCAATTATTAGCTTTCTTATGCTATTCCAGTGGAAAGGAACAATGAACAGGTTAATTGTAACGTTCATTCGTCTCGAGCATCGGAGCTGCACGCTTCAGACGGCTACTTTCACCGTTGATTTAAATTATCCGAGAAAGTGAACCCTTAAGTGTCTTACAATAGCTATTGTTTTATGTATTTTTTTTTCTCCTTTGATTCTCGCTGATCGTTGAACGTTTCTTTTAATGTTAATTAACTTATCGCTTCAACAGAAACACGTAGAGAATGTTCGCTTGAATCATATTTAACGCAGTTGCGCTCCCGTTGGAAAGCAATTATTTCTAAAAAAGTGCTATTCACCTGCAAGATATCGTTTGTCTGTTCAACTGTACGTTATGTACTAAAATATAATTAAAAGAAATGATTGATTACTCGTATACCTGTTTTATTTATTATAAAAACTATAATTTTCTAAATATTAATCCCAATTCTTTATTTTATTGCATTTCGTAGATAAAAATTGAATCAGCTTCATTTGAGATATTCCGTTATCAAAATTCGTTTCTCGATGTTGCAAAACGACTCCTAGTAGCTAGAGAACATGAAAGTAAAGAAGGTATCCGGGAATTAATTGATCAGCGCCATCTAGCGGAATGTGTTCCGAACTATCGATTTCTAATAGGAGACCAAGAGGTATACTAGGCACGCGCAGGGAAAAATCATTAATAACTCATTTTCTAGGAATAATTTATGAACTTTTATAATTTATTCATAAAGTACACGTTCGTAGCAACTTTCACATATAGATTTTGTCAGGATCCAGCGAGTAATTAATTAATTATAACAATTTTAATATCGACCGCTCTATCGACGCTTATTCGACGAAGGGATTTTTCAGTTTCCTGCTTTCCGGCGATCAACTTCCGCATTTCAATGATCAAAGAATAAAGAATAGCACCGTAGCTTTCTTCTAGTATAGGTGTTATGAACCTCCTGTAAGTAATTAATTTATTATTAGCAAAATTTAGAGCGACCGTTTCTGTAGGATCGAGCCGTCGTTTCTATAATTGTTCATAATTTATTAATTACTAGCAGGATCCTGATAAAACCTATATGTGAAAGTTGCTACGGGTATGTATTTTATGAATAAATTATAAAAGTTCATAAATTGTTCCTAGAAAATGAGTTATTAATGATTTTTCCATGCGCGTACATAGCATACCTCTTGGCATACCAACTTTCTTTCCTGCTCTCCTATTAGAAATAGTTAGTTCGCGCCCCGTCCGCTAGATGGCGCTGTTCCCATTTTTACCTGCGCGCGCAATCCAATAGATTCAAAACTTGAATTCATACTACAGTGTCTTGAAATCAATTATGGTATCATATATTGATTTAAATGTTATTTATTGTTTAAATTACTTCATATTATATTTTTAATTATACACAGTTCAATTTTCAATACAAACAAAGATGAGTTGACCGAGGAAGAACCCAAAGGGCCCTTAATTAGACCTGATCGACTTAATTAAAACAATTTATACGATCATTAAACGTTTATTGGGGAACATACTGTACACATTGGACCATAAATATTTATTTACAATATTAAAAATGTCTAAAACTAATATTAAACGAACAATCTTCATTTAACACGCACTAAAAATCATATAAAGAATGATCTAACGATATTGTCGCAGCATTGTATTACTGTCAACGCGCACGAATGTCACGGTGAATAATGATCAACTCTGACTCGTTCCGATGCTTGAATGACTCGTTGAATATCGAATTAGGTGAAGTTACAAAAAGTCACGACATACTGTAATTTAAACCAGCACTTATTTTTGCGTTTCCTGAAATTGACCTATCGCTTCGAGTCAGGGCCGGCCCTGCTTAGAGTTAATTAAATTTTCTTTGGTGTTTTGCACTTTTGAAAATAAAAAAATGTATAATAAATGAAACACTATTCGATACATTGTTATTCGAATAAAAATTAGTATCTGAATCACAGATAAATTTTTTTACTTCATGAATAATAAACAATGAATATATAATTCGAATAGAAGTACATTAGATAACAAAAAATGCATAATTAATTATCATTCTCATATATCTTCTTCCAGACAATTAACATTCTCTCAGATTCCAATTGCAACGAAGGGAAAAGATTAAATTGCTTTCACTCGTCTGATTTAATTGTACTCTATTGTGTAATGTTCCGACATTTTATTCGATCATGCTACGATTACCAGCACAGGAAGACACGCGTTACCGTGTTCCACATATCAAGATGCAGAATCATTTGCCACATCTATCCGAGTTATCTCGTAATATTTAAAACAGGGGAAAAAAAAATTCAATAGGCGTTCCCCCAAGGTGCTTCGATAATTAATCGATAATTAACCGACATCTTGATAGCAACACCGTTATTTCCGTTCTTATATACCTTAGCAATTCATTCAGATATTTTCCGCTCTGACTCGAAAAGAAGCCGCTAGAAACAGTTTACGTATTTTATATATATCAATTAAAATTTGCAACACACTTAAATTTCAAAATGAAACTTTTGAAATTTTCGGCATCCTCCTGAGGTGGAGCTCGAAAATTCGTCATTGAAAATTAGAACACTTCAAACTGAAACCGTTTGAATTGAGACGGTAAGAGATTCGAGCAGCGTGTTGTTTCGATGAGCGCAGCAAATATTTGAACGAGCACGTAACATTTCCTAGACGGAGAGCGCGATACGACACACGAAAGCCGATTTAATGAATGACAGTGTTTGAGAGGCGTGTAACGTAACCCTGTTGCTCGTAAATTAGAAAATTAAAGTCACTTAGGGAAACTAGTTTCGACGGAATAAATTTCAGATAAGGTATGTACATACTATTTTCAACGACTTAGAACTTTCTAAACCACTCAAAGTTACCGGAACGTTCCTTCAACATTTCTTTGATATTCGCAATATCTGACCGTGCGATCATATTTGAATAAGAAAAATACCCTAACCTAACCTAACTTGAATTTTAACCGAACGATTCTATCGGTAGTATCCGCAGAAATATATGGTCGTTAACAAGTTGACTGGAACAGTGTGAGTATACTTGATTGTAAATGTAAACGGCAGCCAGCAGACGGTTCGAAATACTTTTGCATCCGCTTCATAGTAAACATACATTACGGTTGAATCGTTTGTAACAAGCACCATCGCCGTTCGCACCTTTCGCAACGATTTACGGCCTGCATCGTTCGTTACATAGCCAAAGAGTTGGTTCGGACGATTGATCGTTGTGCCGTAAGTAACGCGATATCCCGCAAGGAATGCTCGACGATACCTTTAAACGCGAAGCATTGCCGACAGTGTACGTAGAACTTGACCCCGCTGCGTCAATCCATCGCTGTTCGGTGTCAGTGACCTGCCTCAAAAAAAGAAATTAATTCCACCAGCCAGTGGCCCGTTACACACTCGTCGCACACACGACGACGACGACGACGACGACGACGACGACGAGACGGATTCTGCGATTTTCTCTCCCGTCTCTCCTACATATCCGTTTCGATCAAACTTGGCTGAAACGTAATCTCCTGTTTAACCCTTTGGCTGAGAAAGGTGTATTTATACGCTCTTACACATTCATCAATGTACAGAGTGTTTCATGCAACTGAGCTAAAGCTATAATAGCTTCAAAATGATGGAAGATGGAAAAAAGTATCGTTAGGTAATATCAGATGGCGCTGAACGGAGTGTCACGTGATGCGGTTGTTGATTCCGGAACTCCCGCCAATTGAAGGGTTAAGATTATGACTAATTGTAAGTAAAATCAGGTTTGATCAGTGATTACTAGTAAACGAGTAATCGATAATCGTGATTAATGAATGAGAGAAGTAATCATTAATTTTTTATTATGAAACGATGCTAGAATATTACAAATTGTTTTGTAGGTTGACTGCATCAACGTTCGATATCTTGTTTACATTTGATGACAATATTTATCTCGAGAATTGAATTACACAATGTTTACAACTTATATGTAATCTTTTTGCTGATTGAGTGCTATATGTGAGTATTTTGTTTGGAAATTGATAATTTTGATTAACAAGACCATTACACATTGTGTTGATTACAATTATGTGGTTAAAGAGAATTTAGATACAATTCACTATTCCCTTTTTTTATTTCCGGTTTATCAATTTATCAAACGGTGATTTTCTATTTTACACTTTGTTATAATAAATAGAAAATTTGTAACGGGTGTGCGAGTAATCTTCCGTTTGATGATATTCCTGGTACAAATCATCAGACGTATCAATTAAGTCAATATTGTAGGCCGTGTATATGGCAACGTTTGTAGTTATCTTTCAATTGCTCACAGATCCATTGAGCCGTGTATGCAAACCTATGTAAGTAAAATAACTGTAGTACGTGTTACTATGTACTAGAGCAAGTGACTACAAAAGTCTACTTGGCGATAACAACGAGGCGTTCGAACAAATAAGCGGCATTACATCAAAGCGGCATAACACGCTAACGGAAATGCAGTTTTTGCGCGTCTCTTTGTGTATCAATTTTAAATAAATCAAATGGAATTGATCATACAGGTGACATCTTTTTATTAGTAACAATAAGGACTAGATGAACGTAACGAAAGAGTTAAATTATCCGCATAGTTGCACCGGTGATTTTTTTCAGTGTTTACTCATCGACGCTAAGATATTTTAGTTGATGATTCGATTTAATCTTGTTGCAATCTCTTCTTCCGAATCATGCGTACCGATTTCCTTGCTCATGCATCAGAGGATCGCTTTGTCCCGGTAGTGAAAGAAACGAAAGTAATTGAAGCAACTACATATATCGATAAAAAGACAAGAGTCCTTCGTCTTTCGTGTTTCTTTGTAACGTTGAAATGTTAAATCGGTACAGGAGAAGAAGAGAAGAAACTGATCGGTAGCACAAGCCGGCTTTACGAACACGTCCGGGGGACCCCGCGTAACCAGCCTGTGATTGGTCGAGCCGTGTACCACGTGGCGTCGTAGCTCGGGTGGGGATTGGCTAGTACGTCTGCGCACCGCGGGCGAAAGCGGCGAGTTTTGTTCTAGTATTTACCCCGCGGTGTAAAGTTGGCTCTCGCGCTCTCCGGTGTCCTTAAGTCACGTTCCATTGTCCGCGTCGTTTGTCCAAGTGCATTTTTCTATCGTACAGTATTCACGGTTGTTCCCGGTCCTCGTGCGTTTCAGTGGTGAACACGCCGTACGAAATAGTGCGCCATGTTCGCGCCGCGAGTGGCGTGCGATGCACCGGCTAGCGTGGCAAGTGATGGGTTTTCATCGTGACGCAGTTAGTGTGTGCATTTAAACACCATCCTGGAGTTTATTCGTCGTGTGAATGTGTGGATAGTGTGTGATTTACGCGTTCCTGTCGTTAGGAAGGCAAAAGTCTAACGGTTGAAAAACAACGAGGCGAAAGCACGCTGTGGGACTGTGGAATGCACGCTGACAGGTATGTACCGCCACGCCGTCACACTTGGAATTCACCGAGCGGTTCTAACCTTCTTTCTCTCTTTCTTCATCCTTTAATATGTTACTTCCTTTCTCGCTTGTAATAACGCAACGCTTGCGTGTGTATTTACGCGATCGTCCACCTCTCTCTCTCGGTTTCTTCCCTTTCTATCCTCCTTTCCCTTCGCTTTTCTCTGTCTTGCTTCTTTCAATGACCTTCCTCGCGCCTGCGTTTGCGTCGTAGACGCTGCGCCACTTTTGACAGCTGTCATGGTCGAAACGCGTACAGTGTCGACTCGTTTCGTTTCATCGTACGTGAACGACCCCGGGGGGAAAGGCAGCATATTGTCGTTCATTGCTCCTCTTTATCCCCTTTTCACGTATCGACATTGTTTTTACGTACGCGACCGTTGGATAGATCGCCCGTTGAGAATCGTCAGATATCGGCGTACGTGCCTTGTATAGTCATAATTTTATCGGTGGTCATTTCAAATAATCATAAATACTTTGTATACCACGCTCGAACGGAACAAAAGGTTATGCCAGAGCAATAGGTTTTAATCTATTTGTGACGTAAATCAGATATCTCTATTACTCGGATGGCTTGAACGATTTATCTTTTTTAATAAACGTTAATCACAGGAACGTTACTTCGAACACATCTCGCGGCGTGGTGCGCGTTATGTAAAGTGAAAGTAGCTACGGAAACATGTTAAAGGTTGCGATACGTAATGTAAAATGGTATATACATGTAAATTCAGGTTATTGAACGCTTGATTTCTCGTGCGTTGTCTTATCGAAAAAATTGCAAACTCTGTCACACGTGTGTGTTTAAAGCTGACGTTTTTTGCAAATAAAACTATCGCCGAATCGAATAAAAAAAAAAAAAAAAAACAAGGTATTATATCAACAGAAGCAGCCGCTTTTAACGAGTTTGATTTTTTTCAATCTTCAGCTTCTTCATAAGACGTTCATTTAGCGGAAGCTATTGATGTTCCTTCTTTTACGTTTTATTAAATTAAGCGGTAAAAACCATCAGTTGTTTAGAACTGTTAAATAGATCTACTCGACGGTAAGCTTGTATCCTTTTCTTTGAAGTCGCCCGCCAAGGACGCCTGACAAATATGTATCATGAGAATGCCGCTTAACCAGAAATTATTGAAATTGAAACGTTCGTTTAGCCCTTGGACGTTCCTTTAAAAATTTCACTCAGAAATAAATTCCCCAAAATGCAGTAATTTTAAAATAGCTGAAAATAGTGGAAAATAATTCCTATTCAAATATTAGATACTGCAATCTTTCCCGCGACAGTGATGCGCTATGTCGTATAATGCAAAGTGAACAATTTGTCGTCGCGCAAGCAATGACAAAGTACGATTAATATATTTGTTTGCGCATATCGAATTAGACCAACCAATCACATGATCGAGAGCACGGGTTCATTGCATAAGTTGTCTGACGCAGGAGCAGCGTCAATTTAAGAAAACGTGTTCCTTCTACCGCGGCACCGTTTTCCCATCACCATTCTAGATTCAGTTCCATTTAACCGCTCTGTGTACGCTTTGGTATCCTTGATCGCCACGCGTATCGCCATATCCGCGGCAACACTTTTCCCATCGGCTCGTCGTTAATTAATGTAATCGCGGTATTCAATTAAGAGATAGTTAACGCGTGTTCTTTACCAAGGAACAGAGAAAGATAGAAACACGATTATTCAAGCGAACAGGATAATAAAACGCAGCGGTAAAACGTAGGATATTTCGATTTCGAGCGGTTTATTGAAATTACGATCGTCCGTGTACCGTTCTTGGGAGCCGAGATAAATACGGCTACGATAAATAAGTATCTTCTTTTATTTTTCAACGGTACGAGGAGGTTTTCAGGAAGAAACGGACCAAGGATTCGTGGCAGGCCGACAACCTCCCGATCCTTATCCAATTACGTATGCGTAACTTCTTCGTAAGAATGCCCGGTCTCGTGTCGTTTAAATTCGCGTCCTCGAACAATATTTAACAAACGCCCCGGGTACTGATCTCTCTTCGTTTCTTCACGATATACTCGCACGGCTCGTATCCTTTACCTCGTCTGTATATTTACCGGTATCTTCGGATACCCGAGGTCGATCGTTACACCCACGCACGCGTTACCTTCCCAGCCGCGAGTAACGTAAGTTTTTTTAATTAAACCACGGGGAACTGGAATTCAATGGGCGGCGAAAGCAAGTTGTTTCATGGTCGTATTATTGTTTAGCGCAGCGACGAATTCGTTATGCAGGATTTCTTGATTGTGTTACTTTTACGAGATCTGATTAAACGTTCCACGCTTTTCTGATATGATTTTAAACGGGGGTTTGGTTATTTATGCGGCTCGCAGTATCAGATTCTATTCAAGGGTTTGGGAAAGATTATTGTCTTTGAAATATTAGGTTGGAATGTGTTGCATAGTCTAGATTGATTTCAGAATTGGAAGCTTGAAGTATGAAGAAAATAATCATATAAATGCTTTATTCGTGTCATTAATATAAAATGGCTGATTGCCAGTTGTAGTGAACACTAATGATATATCAATTTAAGGTGTAATTAAAATTGGGTATACTTTTGAAAGGCCCCATCACCCCAGGACACCCAAACTTCGGATTTATAGTAATTGAGGGACGAGAAATCGAATGAGATCATTTTCAGAAATGGCAAATAAACCGTTCTCGAGATATAAAGGGTATTCTAAAAGTGCGAAAATCCCTTATTATTTTGATAAGAACGCATTTCCACGCAAAATGACTAACCTAACCCTAACCCTAACCTAGGTAACCCTAACCTAGTACGAAAAACCTAGGTTAGGTTAGTCATTTTGCGTGGAAATGCGTTCTTATCAAGATAATAGGGGGTTTCCGCACTTTTAGAATACCCTGTATATCTCGAGAACGGTTTATTTTACATTTCTGAAAATGATCTCATTCGATTTCTCGCCCCTCTATTACTATAAATCCGAAGTTTGGGTGTCCTGGGGTGATGGGGCCTTTCGGAAATTTCCCCTTAAAATTTGTTCATTGATTTTTCATTGAAACAAGAATAAATGAATCATAGCTTAACAAATGTTTTTTTAAATAACCGTACGTACCAATCCGCGTTTCTTCGCAACAGTTGCGCCATTAAATCCGCTACCAAAGGAGAAATAAACAATTCCAGGATGCGCAACAGTTTCATTCTTTACTGTACAGCAGAAAATTGCATCACTGAAATTACACGCGGCATGCTACCGCTTACGATATTCGTCGTGGAACGGGGTTCCTTTTAACAGTCATTAAATATATCAGCCATAAAACGCAACAGTTCGTTTTCCATAATTATTAACGATTCTCTCTCGGTTGGAATCCGTCTCGTTTACCGTTTGAAAGTACCTCGAAACGTCACGGTTCATAAACTTCTAACAAAGTCTTCGAGGATGCTTTCGATTCCGTACACGCAATCCACCGATTCGGCCTTTGCAAATCATGCGTCTCCTTTCTTACGTAATTTCACGTAACTTCCTTCCCTTTCTTTCTTTATCCGGCTACTTGCTTTTGTTCTTCTGGTAAAAGGAGAGGTCGTTCACCGCGGGTAATTCGAGGATTTGTATAACAAAATACAGTACCATTTCTGATGACAAAATGGTGATCTCTTGAACCAATGAATTCCTGAAGTTAAGACTTGCATTTTCAGATTCTACGGATCAATAACTATAGATTAAAAGAAAAAAATGTGGAAAATTTGGTGTGCCCTAAAGTAAAGTCCAACCTAAAAATATTGTATTTTACGAATTTTTTGACCTAGGGCACCGTATCGAATGAAATTTGATTTTTAAATGTTATTTAATTTAATTTAGAATAAATTTCAATTTTTGAACCAAGGGGGCTCTCATAGGTCTGGGCCCTAGAAGTCTTAGTCCGTTCCTAAGAATATACAAACTTAAAGGGTGCGATATAATAAGTATGTAGAAGTGAAATGTGGCATGTTACAGAAAGAGGACACTTGGCGGCCGGAAGGGTTCGAGGGTAGAGCGATGAGGGCCATCGTGGAATTACGGAAAGAAGGTTTACAGTTCGGTGAAACGGTTAATGAGTGGAAATCACCGAACACGGCTGGCTACGTCTCTGTCTCCCCTGGCTGGAGATGAGCACGAAGGAGCTGAGCACGATGACAACCACGATGAGTACTACGAGCACTTTACGATCATCACCGAAGCTCGATGTCGCAGCCGAGGACGACGAAGAGCCACCGACCCCGTTCGAATCCCTGGACATGGACCTGGTGAACGGACCGAATCCATGGCTTCCGGCCTACGGTTTCCAGCTACAACATCGTACCCACTTCCAGTCTACACACGAGGATCTACGGGCTAATGGTTCGTACTGTTACCTGTTTCACTTTCTACAACCGTGACGGTGGTTTACACGTCCACTGTGTTAGGCTGGTCAATGATGAATTATTATTATTATACAAAGAACAGTGGAGGAGGATTAACAATCGAGCCGTTCACAAATCCACATTTTGATTCTGTTCAAATTTTAGTGACATAGAAAATTAATACTTCTTTATTGTGGTTCTTTTTCTCGAGTTAATCAATTGTTAATTCATTATTTATGATTCTATACAACAGCCTCCTCGTAACACTAGCAGAACGTCAATTTATTCATAGAACGAATCGTATATGAATCACAGTAGGTGAATATTTATTTCCAATAGTTCCATTCATCTTTTTCAACAACGCAGTTTCAGAATTGTTTTCTAATTTATCTGCAAGAAGATACAATTTATGTTCATGAATTTGAATTGTTAATTATAGGAGTACTTTTTTTGTAACGATTATCGATTGCAAATCAATGAAATATGTTTCTGATCGTTAATCTATTCATTATTAGATTAATTTGTCTGTAGAGCATTTAATTTTACACGGCTATAGGTAATGTGCTAATTGATACTGATTAGCTGAGTTGGTATAATGCATCAAACAGAGAATCTTTGATTGCTCATGACGAATTCCACGTGTCCTGTTCTGCGTCTACGCTCTGAATATCGTCAGCAGGTTGTATCGTTACCGTAATTTTCATCGGATAGAAAATAGCGCGGGTTTGCATACAAATCGCTTGTTAATGAGTGGACTTAATGCGAACTACTTTCTATAAACGTGGACGAGCATGTGAGAGTTAATGAAAAACATAGATTGGATGCACGGCCGTGTAATTTCCATTCGTTAGAAGGACAACTCGTGTAGCTGTTTTTCTGAAAACCATTCCCGGATTATCAGGGAAAATCCATTTAATATAAAGTAATATTAATTAAACCAATTAAAATTGAATTTCCAAATAGAATACTGCTTATGCATCCACTTTGAGATTAAATATTGGCGGGTCGTACACTGTTTCTTTCAGTTGTGTAACCTTTAGATGTAATTAAAAAGAATCCTAGAGTAGATCATCGTGTATTTTTGTGCAAGGTGATGGATTATTCACGTTGTATGGTTAGAGGCAACAGGCGACTGCAACAGGTGGTTTCCCTCCATCATGATGTTGCATAGCAGTGCATGCCTCTGCGCTTGTGCAAGACAAATTGCATTCCCGGAAGACGATTTCTTCTCACAATGACCATTACTGCTAATCTTCTTGTTTTCGTGTAAAATAGGCCAATAGGTGTATGTTAATTTTGTACTCGTAGATAGACTTGTCTCTTACGAAGGATAAAATCACCCTGGAGAAATTCTGGGTAAAATAGTGTTTGAAATAAAAAGAAAAATATTTTTAAAAATTATTTTCTTCGTGTTGAGGTTTTAATTGGCACTAAAAATTTGATATAATCCAATGATAGAGAAAGAATTGAAGAATGGAGCAAACACTGAATTTTTCTCACATATTCGTTATTTAAATATTTATTAACATTTTTGCAAATTCTCAGGTATGAGGGGGTAGGAAAAAAAGTATGAGACCAGCTGTGAAATTTTGTAAAAAAATAAAGTAGCATCCGTGCCTAATTAGGCATGTGTTCTTCAAGATCAATTATTAATAAAATATTGGCAGTTTGTAGTATTCCTGTGAAACTGATATTTCTGTTCATTCAGGTTACTAACATTTGGTAGAGCGGATGATTATTGTCGACACTCTTACTTATATAAGTATATGGTACAAAAAAAAAAAAAAAAAACACTTTGAGCAGGTAAACGTGTCGAGTGTTTGAGCAAGTTGTTGAAATGTTTCTTCTTCAACATTCTTCCAGGAACGTTGCAAAGATTCGTAATGTTTATGAACGCTTTGGTTTCTTGTAAGTCTCCTGGTAGAATTGATAAAACAAATAGAAATTGATGATTAGGTCCACTATTACTATTCCGGATATTATTTTAACGTCCTTGCAACCAGGAACGAATGCAGTCGATAAGTATGCTAACAATATGACAAATTGCACCTGTTTGGGAAAGAAAAATAAAATAATTAAATTTCAATTAATAAAAATTCAAGCATCTGCAATTATAATTAATACGTTATAATTTTTCTTCGATTGATTGAATGTAAATTATCATTTTTTTTGAAGGTTGTAAAAATTAATGATTAATCTTTGCTCTTCCCCCTTTTATTATCAATTATTTCATGCAGATGTTCCCTCTTAATTCTGGTGCAAAGTTCGGTTTAAATTAATTCCAATAATAACATCCAATTAATATAAATTGAAATTATTTTCGATGAGAAATATAAAACATTTTCTAAGTCAGGGGCACAGCCCCTCTTAGCCTCGCTAGAGCTAATCAATATTGTTTAATTACTTACCATTTGAATGATGGTGATGCCAGGTTTAATTACGTTAAGGTATCGTTGCACTCTTGGTCCGAACGTTGCCAAAAAATAATATGTGTACATTATCACGTGTACTCCGCAATTGACCATCGGAACTGTAATCGCCATTCCATTGGGCGAGTATTTTACAAACACCCATGCAACAAACACTGTCGTTACATGATGATACAGATGTAAAAATGATATCTGTCGTTGTTTCTTCCTCAGCACGAACAACACCGTCTCGGTGTAGTCAAAGACCTTCAGGGCTAGCACGTACCATGATATATGGGCGAACTGTAAGAAAATCATTGGCACTTTCTTTTTGGTGTTCAGGAACAAAGAACGGGGTGCATAGATTAACTTTTTATCGGTGCATACTGTTTAACCTTTTAACTGAGGCCTGATTTAATTATTAGATTGTTGCATAATTAACAGATAGATTTCGAAACACGTCAAATTTGACACGTTTTCGTGACATAGAATTCACGGAAAATAGCACTTACGGTATAGAAATTTCGAGGATTAAAGTTTGCTTTCGTTTGATTATATCGTTTGAAAGTATTGTTATTTTAATTAAATTATTCATATTCTTCCGTGGCACGAAAAATTGATAGATCCATTAACGATTTCAGGAAACAAACGATTGGAAATTGGATGTTCGTTAATGACCGATATTAAATTATAATTCGGTTGATTCACTGTTTGTTCCAAGGAATAAGGAAGGAAATTATAGGAGATTATAAAATAAAAATTTTTTGAACGGTTAAAATATAAAAATATACAGTGAATGAAAAAAAAAAAAAAAAAGAGTTTGAAATAAAAGATACCATATTGAAAATAATATACTTTCGACCTCTGGCAATTAACGAATTATAATTATAATTATTTCAACAAAGCTAGCAAGGCCAATACTTTTTCGATTCACTGTATTTGTAAAATACGAATAAATAAATAAATACCTTCATAGATGCAGGTGTGATAGCCGGATCTATCGGTCTACAATAGATAAAGTAATCTCTGTACCATCCAGCCTCAAATATGTGATACACGATCATGCTGTTCGTCACAACTTGAAACAAGTTATACAATCTGATGAAGGTTTTAAAAGAGTATGGTTTTCTGTTTTCCATGTATCTTGGTCCACATTTTAGCACAAAGTACAAGTACGCGAATGTGATGAGAATTATAGGCACAGGAGAGCTTACCAAAAACCAGTCATTCGTTTTTATATCTACAAAGCGTTATAGAATTATTAAAGAGAAATAATTTTTTTTTTTATTTACTCTCGATATTATATACACGAAATTTCAAATCACTCACCGGCTTCTTCCGTATTTAAGTAATGGTACCAACTTGCTAAACTCATTTTTGCCCGTAGTCACTGTTAATCAGAAAACAGAAATGTTCACCTGACCGAATCACTGTGTTTATCGATGTGCGTTTGGGGCCAGTGCTGAAAACGATAGAAATACTACGTAAACCATTTACTCTTTATATACGTAGCTGTAATGACGTTGCTCGATGAATTTTAAACACGAATAACGTACGTAGGTCGTGGGAATTCTGAGGCAGAAACATTTACTGTTTTATAAAATTGTTATAAGAAAATGTATATGTATTTGTTTCGATATTATACTTTTTATTATTTTTGTTCTTTAAACTTTTGCATCCTCTTGATTATCGGTATTTTTATTTCCTACAACGGCGAAATTGTTTTTGGACATCCAATACCAGTGAAATTATTAATTATTAATCGTAATTAGTAAACAGTAAGGAAATAATTTTGGAATATTTAATACACTTGAATTTATTATAAATTTACAGCAGTATTTATGATTAATTTTAATTAGTGATATCTTAGAATATCTAATGCATATGTATGGACTCAATTAGTCGAATAGTTATTAATTATAAGTTATAATTGGTAATTAGTAGCGAGGCAATTATTTTAGAATATTTAATATTTTTAATAACAACTTTACGCGAACAATTTTCATGTATATGCGGTTGTTCGTTAGAAGCAGTTTGATCGTGATAGATCATAAAATAATATTACATGGTAAAAATTTTGTTAAAAATTTCGGTTTTCAGGGAAGAGATCATTGTTTTTCCTGTAACTGTACAACTTACGTCAACTGCACATTTTTTTTCATGTAAAATTAAATTGTTTTTTCGATAACAATTGTTATGCAATGTAATGTGACGAGTTTACAAATCATACTGTCTAATGTGATTTAGGTATTCCGCTTACCTTTGATAGGCATATCCGTCATTAAAGCCACGAAATTAAAATTTGCTACCTTCTTGATACATGAACGTCGCTTTTGAATGTACGTAGTGAGTTTAGGAAGAATATAAAATATTTTTATAACGTATACTAGCAGCTATTTTTTTCTTGAATAACGCTGCCGTTAATAATTCATTTAGAAATTGTCCAAATTTTAAACTCGACGCTTTTTAATTTAATATGTTACTTGATTTCAATGTTCTTTTTTTTTTCTTTTGCATAGATTAATTCCTCCGATGATTTCGTATACAAATTATTAGAGAGCAGTATTAAAAAATTTTAAGTACCGCTAAGTAGGGTTTAATCGGTTTCTTTTTTACCAATACTTTTGCCAGGAAATATTGCAAATCTCAATATACGTAAAAGAGAAACGTGCAATTTCATTTGTATTTTAAATCTCGTCAAAAGAATTGACGTAAGTAGTACATAATGATGCTCTATGTATAATTATTCCGATACTATTACTGCATTTCCATATACGGAATTAACGAGTTATACGTGTTCTATATTATCCGATCTATCATCGGTGTGTAATATTTATCATTTATCTGATGTTGTTGTTTTCAAATTACATCTGTTCTGTTTCGATACCTTTGATTACGAGGTCAGTTTACATTGATTTCGGGTGTCGAACACTCATTGTATACATAGTATTCCCATTGTAAACAGATCCAGAGCGTGTCCTATGAATCATTTCGCCAGATATCTGACAGTAGTTTGGAAATGTGTGATAGGATAGTATCTCGTAGTGCGATAAGGTAGCGATATGATTGGAAAACGAAATTCGAAAGCGAAATCGAGTGAGAAAATTTTAATATCATTCGACGACGATGCCTGGGCAAAGTTAAATTTTCACTATCACTAATAGCAAACTGGGTCTGATTTTATATTGTTCTAAGTTCGAAAAAAAATCAGAAAAAATTCGGAGATATTCAGTAAAGCTTTTAATTTAACATACGCGTGACAATGAAGTGAAATCTTGAAACTTTCTTGAAATAAAATGAGAATTTCGCTTGTAACTCGTCGACCCGGTATGCCGATGAGAAAAGTGAACAGAAAGTTAATCAAAATCGTTGGGATAATTAAACTTTTATTGACAAATATGTTTCATCTATTTGCAGATACGGTGCTAGTGCAACAGGTGGATTTTTTAGAGACCATTCTAGAAGAAACATCCGACGATTTGCAAAGCGATTCTGACCGTAGCGGGACCACTTATTGGGTCGGTTCTGATTCCGAGACTGAAAGTGTGATACACATTAGAGCGAAGCAGAAATTAGCAGGTAAGAGATTCGTCTGGTATTAGATCTAATTTAGTTTCATGTGATCGGTTACGTATCTTGAATCGTCTGACAATAGGTCTAAAAATACTTGGTAGCTCTTGGACTAGGCTGTCTAATGTCAATTTGGCAACAAGTCCGAACATGGGCTAGATGCCCATGTGTCAGGTTACGTTATAAACAGCGTTCAATGATTTTTTTATACCTGCGACCGAGTTTTGACCTTAGGTATATTCAAAATATAGTCAAAGTTCGATAAGTACTCGGTTTGATCCATTGGATCACGGTGATCATCATCACCACTTGGGGGATGGATGAAATTATATTTGATGATACGATTACCATATAGTGACTGTGAGACGCGTGACATTAAAGTCTGGTGAACGGTATTTCGTTTCGGAATGCATCTTGTGAAATCTCATTCTTGCCCCACAACTGGTGTACAGTAGCTGCGAATATTATCCTCGATGGACCACTTTCTTTTTTCAATTTATTCTGCGATTCATTCATTTCTACGGAATCAGATTGTACAGTCAATAATTTATTCAAAATCTGTTCTATTATATAGTTACGGTTGCCACCTTCTTAAGGGAGAAATATACATTTTTTTTTTTGTTAATTTAATTTTATTTATTTTTTCAAGTATATCTGTTGTTAGTTTGTGCTTTTAGTATTAAATAAAATTTGACAACGTGGCTAATCGATCCCTGCAATATTGAATCTGTTAATATTACGGTTTATGTAAGCTTATCCCTTCGAGCACGCGAGCGTCGCGACATCCAAGCGTACACGGTTGCAGTTCTTCAGGCGCCTCTTCATCCTCGTTTCCTCTTTCCGCGATGTTCAATTTCTTAACGCTAGAATTACTAAAGGGGTCAAAATGACTTGTTTCAGGTTTCTTATTTTAAATTATAAAATTTATTAAAGCGATTTTTGATAGGTACAGAAAAATATAGTATATCAATGAAAAGTGCAAAAAGCTGTTTGTCTTACAATTAGATCGTATACTTGTACTTTGAAGTGGATTTAAACCACTTGCCACGATAATTAGACGGTAACTTTATCCCAGACAATTAATCTTTATACTTGTTCTCGCTGGTTATCTTCTCACGAGTATCACTTCTTACCACTTACAGAATCGTTGATTACAGTTGTTAATCATGTGTTTTTATTTAATAGTAAAATTTTTTTTTTAATTTAACATTAAAATTATTTCATTGTGTTTACGATTCCATATACGATTCTTTTCCGTTTCATCTAATATTAGATCACCTTCAAACGTGATTCATATAGAATTACCATGGACTAGCTGTTGGATTCCACGTGTATATGATGATGCAAAAATAAACTGACAAGACAACAGGTCGTGTAGAGTAAATTCAATTGCTTCTGTTCAATCTGACGAGAATTTCAACTCTGATTGAATCTGAATCGGTTAGTTCGTTTGTGAAATAAAGATAAATCGATCGTGACCTCGATCCTTCGTGTTATCGTTTGCCAAAATTTCTGAAAATATTTCGCTCTTTCTTACACTTTTATTTTCATTGGAAAAACGAAAGAATTATGTATAAACAAAGGAATATTCCATCTAGCGGTAGAAGTTATAAATTTTTCATTAAGATTACCTAATCCTCTACTGATACAATATGTTATTAATAATTCATGTTAACGAAGATTAATGAATTGTACGATAATTTTGTAACGAGTGTTATATTTTCTCCCTTTTTATGATATCAAGTTCGTTTAGTATATCGATGTTGATTAAAAAATTCTCAATGCATGTTTTTTAACAGCGAGAACGAATTATTGACATTACCATTGAAATTCCATTCTGAATTATACCTTTCCATAAACACACTGACATTAGACGTTGAATTTGTTTTTCTAACGGTTATTGTTGGTTAAGCTATTACAATTATCTAGGCTAAACTAACTTGTCTACTATTATTAGTATTTCAAGGTGAATCGTGGACGAAATGAAGAGAAAAATTGAAACCGTTAGAAAATCGTTAGAAATTCGATCATTGTTTCCTATAATTGATCACCAGCCATTTTATATTACGAAGACTAACGAAGGGTTTATGTGGTCATTTTGATTAAACTTGAAGCTTTAATTTGATACGGCATAAGTGGCATTTTATAATACTTTTCTGTCATGAAATCGTATTAGAATTTCTGTTCCCCCGCCATTTGGTTCTCAATTCTCGGCCCAGTTTACAAAGTCGAATCACGGAAGTGGGTCTTCGACAGAGAGGGGTCGGGCAATCTTCGATTTTACGCGTCCCTCCCCGTATGTTCCAGCCAGGAAGCCATGGTTCATTCAACCGGAAGCGACGTTTACGGCGTTACGCGGTCACCGGTTGTCGACTTCGTGACCGTCGTTCGACACGTGATTGACCACACGGCCCGTAACTGATAACTGCTGCTAATGGAAGCAGAATTATTTTTTTTCTTCTTTCTGTCTTCAACATGATCTACCTGATACACCTGTCGCGGTTAATGCATTTCAATTTGCATTTTACCTTGGTCACGGTTCTTACTATGGGAATCAATCGCTTCTTATGAATGAAGAATCTCGTTAACCCTTTCGTTACCAAACAAATTTCAATTTCAAAGATAAAATTTAGAAAGTATCATAGAGGAAACTTGAATACAATACGGTTTGTCAAGAGTAGTACTTGAATGTTCTACTAGATAGTAGCACATATTCATTTCTTCTAATAGGAGTATCTAAATAAATATAGACTGTTATTTCACAAATTTGAAATTTTAATATTTAAAATTTTTATTTAAAGAACGATACTTTCTGTTACGTTTAAACTGTACTTATTAATCTATAGTTTTTAATTTTAGGAATCCAATGGTTAAACAAAGTTAAACGAAATATTAGGCAAATCGAAAAGAAAGAAAAGCAAATATAATTTGATCGATTCGAAAGGATTCCGTGTACCAAACTGCAGGCAGCCTTTCAGAAAGTAGGTTTAGGCCAGCTGATCGTTATCAGCCGCGATCGTCTCGCTTTTACTCTCCCAATAGCGAAGCGAATCAAACACACGCCTACCGATGGATAGTATCCTTTCTGGTTACGCGCTGATCGTTCGTTTCTTGTTCGATTTCTCGGAAGACGACCGGCTGGATGGCAGCGGAAGCGACTGCAACTCGGTGGTGCCTAAGAAGAGGCGCCGGAAGTACAATGGTACCAGCGATCGCGATCATCAGGTGAGCTTGGAGGACGATTATCCAGCATCGCCCAGGTCGTCGAGATCATCCGCGTCGTCGAGATCGAGTTCCCTCTTACAATTCGAGTCTTTGGAGAGGACTTGTGCCACCTTGTCACCTTCCAGCTACAGTTTCGACTCTTTGGAATATCCTAATCGTTCGAATCCCTGTCATCCCGAGAACACGTCGCCGGACAGTCTGGAACAGGACTACGATAAGGTTCTGCCGAATGGATTCGGGAATAGCGTAGATCATTTCTCGAGGATCAGGCCTTATCGTAGTTTCGAGAGTCTGGATACGTGCCAGAAGGAGGAGGGATTCGGCAATGGGGGTCTGACTAATGGATTCACACCGTTGTACCTGAAACGAAATACGGATCTGTCCAGGACCAGAAACAATAGGCATTGTCCAAGGTAAGAAGGATTTTGTTTTCTAACATTCGAAGGTAATTGTGTACAAAAGGATGAAAAATAAAATTTCATTTCATTTAACGCCCCTACACGATGTTAGATTAGAAGAATTTCAGAATAGTTTAAAAACAAGTGGGCGACGTAATAAATAATATTAAAATTATGTAGTTGGATGAACTTTTGAACAGCTTTTATAACTTAAAAGCTGCGTGCAAGCGTAAACAAGGGCGCAGAAGTAAGAGATTGTTTAAAGGTATGTATTATTAACCCCCTGTTATATTTTCAATTTATGTAGTTGTTCGTAATCGTGATTATGGTCACGATAGAAAATCTTTTCGTTGCGTTATTATTGGAACAGCTATGTAAAAGTATAAAGGGGTGCAGAATGCCTAAATTTTCTGAAATTTCTGATAAACAATATACGATGAAACTAGCTAAATTGTCGCCAGACGTTCGCATTGTTCTTATAGAATACTACGTTTGAGAGAAAGAATATTTCGCGATTGTTGTGCGACGAAGGTCTTTGGATTTCCTTGGCAACGACTCTCGGACTTTGAGCTTGCTACATGACCCTCGTTTTTTGGCCAACTTACCGCAATCACGACCCTGAATATAGACCTCCTTGACTTTTACTATTAATCTAGAAAAGATACGAAATTATGCGGATTCATTTTCATCTCTTTCTTTCTTTTTTTTTTATACCTTCGAAAAATTTCTCTGTTCTTCATACGATACAGGGACTTTTGGCACGAAGACGACGACGACGAATACGAGGACGAAGAAGAGCTGGACGAAGATCTGTACGAGAATGATCGAACGTTAAACGAGAATCGAACGAGTTGCGAGATGGACGATCGTCTGACGGTGTTCGGCGATTCGGTATGCAATTACGCCACATCGATGGACTATAGAAACACGATCGATCTGCGCGAGATCGGGATCGAATCGAAGAGGGACGCCCTATTGGATCTGAAGTCTGGCCAGGCAGCCGTGTCGAGTTCCTTTCGTCTGTTGCAGACCAGGTTAAATATAGCCGGTGGTATGGCGCACGCTCGCAACAACATGGTCGCCGATCATCATCCTCGTAATCATCATCATCATCATTATCATCATCAACAGCATCAAGAAGAGGAGCAGGAAGAGGAGCAGCAGCGGTACGGTTACGAGGAGCACGAGCCGCGGCAGCACCAACGTCAAGGGTGGAGCAAGGAGGAGTGCTTTAATTTTAGATTCACGGATAAATCTCAAAGCGCGCCCAGTCTGCCTAGCACCGTCGACCAGTCCGCACACGGTTTCTGCTCGTTAACTGGTTACTCTTCCTCCTCAAGGGTTACATCTTTCGTTTCCACCTCGAATCTATTCGAGAATTACACGAGAGTAGCGAGCGTGCCGGTCGACCTGAATCTCTGCGGTGTTTCCTTGCTGCACGAGGATGATGATAGGCGGCAGTCAGCTCGAGTGAGTCTGCACGATCAGGAAATGGCGGAGGTGGAGAAACGGTTGGACAGCGTGGAGGAGGAGGAGGTGGAGACGAAGGGTGGTTCGTTGACCAGTTCGGTGAGGACACAAGCACCTCAGGGTGTGATCGTTGACGGTAAAATGGTCGACGTGAAAGGGGACGCGAAGCTGGTGGATAAGGATGGTACGAAACCGAGGGAGAAGAAACAAATCACATCGACGGTGAAGACGCAGGATCGTGGAAATTGCGTGCTCGACATTGCCATGGCGATCGAGAACGATGTGGATGCCGCGATCGACGATGCGATGAAACAATTCAAGCGAGACGTGATAGAAGCTAACGTATCGAACGGTAATGGCATTCAGAGAACGCCATCGGGTAGACCTCGAAAGGTGAAGAACACAGCCAGCTACGAATTGGCTCAGCAATTTGAGGTCGACGAGCGAAGCTTTCGTGCTAGCATGTTGCGCAAGGAGATCGGTAATGAAAACGAGAAAAGCCCGAAATCGCCTAGGAGCAGCGGCAAGAAACGAGTATTGAACAACGCCAGTTACGAGTTGGCCCAGCAGTGCGATTACATAAAGGCATTGCAGACGTCGAGGGGCGCTTTCCAGAGGATGGACGCATGCGACGAACTGGAGGAATCCGGCCGATCCTCGCGGCTCTGGGTCACCGACATAGTGCAACAGATGAGCAGCCATTCGACGTCGAATTTGACCAATCACTACGTCGAGCCTTCTCCGGACACGAGGAAGTATTCCAAGTCAACGGAGAACCTTACCGCTCAATTTTCCACGGGACCGTTCACCAGGATCCCGATCGATCAGCTGGGCCAACGATTGAAACAGCAGCAGCAGCAGCAGCAGGACGAAACGATCCTGAGTCAGATAAAAAAAAACTCGGATCCATTTTCAGTTTATGGAGAAGATCCTAACGCACGTGCCTTAGTAAACGACGAGATAGATTATCCCTGCTTGGAAACCAAACCCATAGGAACTTTCAGCCCGGAGGGGGGCGTAAAACCTCAGCGATCCACCCAAGTACACGAGAACCTATCCAAAGACGAATCACATCGAATCACCGTATCGAACTCGTTCCACGATCACCGGAAGGATCCGGATCCGAGCAGCGTGGCGGACAATTCAAAGAAATGTTTCATCGGTGACTTTTATCCGGATAAGATCGTGCGGTTGCAGTCGCAACAGGAGGAGGAGGAGGTGGTGGTTGAGAGAAATGGCGGGAAGGATGAAAATTCATGGCCCCCGTGGAACAGGAACGCCGGCGAACGTCTATGGAGGGTCATAGTGGAAAAGCAGGTCGCCGAGAAGGAATCTTCCACGGAGAAGGTTTCATACGAGCAAGAGGGGGAGGGTAAAGTGAAAGAAAGAGAATCAGAAGAAGAGGAGAGGAAGAGGAAAGAAGCGAGGGGACAGACTGTCCACGTTGTTCGTTCCCCACCACCCAGCGGTAGCAGCGGTAACAGCGACCGACTGGAACCCAGTGAACGGAGTGGGAATCCAGCTGTGGCCGTGGCAGTTGATACGAATGATCGCGGTGATCGCGACAAACGCGACGAGGAGAACGCTCCGTCAACAACAACCGCGACGCCGGTGGTCAGGGTAGACGAGGCGACCATGTCGACTACCAGCACGACGAAAAGAGGGTTCGTCGCGGCTCCGTCGAAAAAGGAACTACCACCGACGAAATTTCAAAGGAACACGATCGTCGACTCGTCGTCCGCGACCATGGCCAAGGAGGAGAGAAAGAAAGGCGGACTAGGTGGCTTTCTTCAACGTTTCTCCAGGCTACGGTTCAGTGGTAGGTCGAAAGTGCCGCGGTCCGAGGTGCAGAAAAAAAGTGACACACACGGCCAAGTGAATCGCGCGAACGTGATCGAGGAAAATAGTAAAAAGGAGCCGGATTATATCATCATTCCGTTGCATCCACCGGAAGATGAGAAACGGAAGGAGGGTCAGGTGCACGCGGAGAGCAGAACCGATTCGGATAACAACAGGACCGTCGGTGATGTACAGAGAAGTTCTTCCAATATCAGGTGAGTCACGATTATTATCCTCATTATGTAAGATTTAATCATCCTCGGACGGCGGACCATGGAGAGAGCCCATTAATGTATTTCATTAATTCATTATGAAAATAATGAAAAGTGTTCTTTTCAAAATTATTCTTCCAATATATGAAATTCTTTTGTAAGAAAATTATAAATTTAACTTTAGATTAATATCTTTCTTTGACCCAGGCTACGCTGTTCGAGGGTTAACGTACCGGGGTGTCCGTAAAATTCGTAGCGAAATTGAACGATGACATCGAGGTAAAATCTTAATGAAATCGCGTATGGTATTATGCGATGTTTACAGGATATCAGAAATTTGAATTCATAATTATGCAAAATTGCAATTGCACTTTTCTGAGGTTTAATTAAGGATGTGCCTTTGCTGAACACCCGGTCATTAGTAGCGATGCGGCGCTGAAAGTGTTAAAAGGTATGCTAACGCAGATTCGTGAAACGAGCTTAGAGTATAATTACCATTGCTACGCGCCGCATACATTACGAATAATTAAAGACAATTTAACATAGGCTTTAGTTGAAAATAACAAAAACAAAAACGATAATTTACATAAAGGGGATGAAACATCGATCGATTGATCTTATCCTCTTTCTTTATCAGGGAAAACGTTTGTCGGTTTCGTTTTATCGTTGTTTACCGCAGAATATCGTGCTATGCTCCGGTAACGTTGACTTTGACCTTAGTAATTGTTTACACGGTTTCAAGCTACTGTTATAGAACTCTTACCGTGAATCACTCGGTTTACACAGCTTTCTACGGTTTCCTTATAAACATTTGCCTTCCGATCGATGGCGAAAGGCGTTGGTAAAATTTCGAATTTACTATCCCTTCTCCCTCCCTTTTGTTCGATATTTTAAACACCATAGAGAGCAATCGTTGGACGAAGGTCCGCGCTATGAATTCTGTATAATTGACTCGATACATTGATATTACGCAAGGTATGAAAAGAAAGGTTCAATTGAAAAATGGAGCAATCGTATTTTAAATAATTGCAATTATATCGTGTCTTACTACGTATAGTTTTTTTTTTTTTTTTATTATTCAAGGGGGAAATAGATATTCAGGTATATGTGCAACAATAAAGCAAAACGTATTCTATAGATTCATCGAATAAAAAAACAAAAAGGAAGAAAAAAAATGTTGTCTTACATAATTGCCGGATTATGAAAGGCACACAGAGTATGTATCAGTTGTCTGTTTACGCGGTATCGCTCGAGATTATTCGAACGACAGTGAACCCTCTGTTTCATAGTTATTCAACGAACTAAGTATTCCGCTTAAATGAACGAGTCTTTTATTTATCGAATGCTACTGAATTTCATATTTTATACTGCTAGTATTTCATCCATTCTCTGTAAATTCAGCCTACGGTCATTGATGAATCTTGACTAATTAAAAAAACAAATTATAATAAAACAGAAGTATGCCAAAATTATTAAACTATTTTGGAAGCAAATTGAGCCTTTCATAAGGCAAAATAAAAATTTTAAAATTTTAGTGCCAAAACACATAATAAATTTCTTTATTCCGTTTCTTTTCTTTCTTTTTTTTTTTTTTGGAGTTAATTGATTTGACAAATGAGCGGCCCAATTATGCTCGAGGCTGTACGCCGAACGTTCGCCATATTGGTACCGGAAATCGGCCAGTCGTCTTGAATATTCGCGGTTCGTCGATCCGTATGATCGATTTCGTAAACAACTCAGACGATTTTTCGTTGCCCGTGAATTTATTTCAAAACCATCGTTCGTTCGCGCGTCTGAAAGCAACGAGGTCAGTGATACCGAGGAGGAGGCTTTCGTAATGGCGGCCAGAGTCGACCAACAGCTGCCAGTCCCGCGTTTACACCCACTCCTCTCGATCATCCGTTCGTTTCGCTTCGATTTCGTTCCAGCTGCGTTTAATTCTGCTTTCATCGCGTCCTACGTGTAAACACGCGCGTTACAAATCCGTCCGCCTTTTATGGATCGTTTTCTAACGTCCCCTTCTAGCGGAGGGAGTCTTGATCTAAGAATCAGGCTAGGGAGGTGAACAGTTTTTTACTAGGGAAAGAATATTTAGGGAAAATCCATGGAGAGTTTAGGGAAATTTTAGGACCCTAAGAATAGCCTAATCAATTATGATCCATATATATTTAGGAGTTACGTGCCTTTGAGGGGTTAAATAAGAAGGAAAATTTTCTTTTCTCTTTATCAAGGTGATCGAACAACATAGATCCTCGTATCGGTGTTATAGTTAGTTTGGGTTACAGTGTGTCCGTCCCTGTCCTACCCTTTGTACATTCTCTGCATTCCGCGTCTAATTCCATTCTAATCAGGCTTCACGTTCATCCGATCGATAGGATTTCACTCTCGTTCGCATTTGTCCCGATCGTCGGCCCCGTGGATCGTTCTCTTCCCTCGTACATGCACGCTCTCGGGGAACCAGTTCGCCTCTCTTCTTAATTGAATTTCACTCTCGCCCCGTTCCGCATTCGTTTCCACGTAATTCGACCTAATTGCATTCCGTAACGGCAACACGCTGTTGTTTAACGTTTAGCGTACACCTACCTTCGAACCGAAGAACGCTGACTAGGATAGCAATTGATACGTGTATCCTGTCTGATAGTCGGGATGTTGCAAGTAATAGAGCTGGAGATTGAACCCTGAGAGGGAGAAAATTAGAAGAATCTATTTTAGTTTGTAGTATCATAGGTCCTTGATTGTTGTAGGCTTCCTTTAGTTAAAGAGAAATTTAGTTAGAGAAAGGTATATTTCATCCCTTTCCTGTACTTAGAAAAATTCTTAATGGCTACTTACAAGGGAACATCGGAAACGATGAAACTTTGCATAAATATTTATTAGACCTGTTTATGAAGATAACTGTAATTCGTTGGTGCCCGTTTTTCACTTTGAGGGAGATATCAACCCTTTCTATATACGTGCTTATAAATTGTAAACAACAAAAGATATAAAAACATAGTTGAAATAAAAGTTATACCGTTGACTGAGTGAAGTTTTTCAAAACCGAGGGGGAGGGGGAATTCAATTTTGCAAAAAGGATGATTTAAAAAAAAGAACTTACACACAGCTTTATAGACCTCAAGAAAAGGTATAACTTTTATTTCAATTATTTTTTTATATCTTTTGTTGTTTACGATTTATAAGCAATCGTAAAAAGGGTTGATATCTCCCTCAAAGTGAAAAACGAGCACCAACGAATTACAGTTATGTTTATAAACAGGTCTAATAAATATTTATGCAAAGTTTCATCAAAATCGGAGTGTATCAGTCCCCGATGTTCTCTTGTTAGTAGTTTCGATTTTTGAATTAGAAAACTTAAAACAATAGTAAAGTTTAATAGGTTTTATAAATAGAAAAACATTTAATATAAATCTTGGGGTTGGATTTGACATCGGCGTCAATTAATCTTAATCTCTCCCGCGACCCTTACCAGTTAACGATTCATTTCCTTTCAATTCGACGATCGCTTGTGGCTCGCCTGTTCCCTAAAGGATTTTAGAGAACGATTTTAGATTATTTCTTTAGTAAAATTGCTGTGCTGTTTAAGATCGAAAAATTATTAATTTCCAGACGTTTTATTTTTCCACTACTGCCTCTTCACGTTCAAAGATCCCGCTCCATATGGCCGCGTTTTTATTTGCATCCACCCTCGCGCGTTATCCAACGATTCACATTTGGTTTCTTAGAACGACGAACGTATCTGATCCCCCGCGGCCTTACTTTTTATAAACATTCGCGTTTTATCGCATGAAATTTCGTTGAATCAGCTCCGCGTCGGCTCTTCTTTGCCCGAGGAGCAAATCACTGCTTTGATTCCACTGAATTATTTTCAACAGTGAACGCGATTGCAAATAGAAAAATTCATGAATTTAAAGCTTAAGATTTACATAAATGTTTCAGTGATATTTTTAATATAAAATCGCCGGTGATTTATTACAGCAAACGTTAAAGTAATTATTTCTAATACAGTAGGTTTTTTTTTGGAACTAATTGATTTAGCAAATTAGTGGTGAAACTTCACCCTCTTCGAAACAACTTACCATGTTTCAGTGATATTCTTAATATAAAATGCCCGGTGATTTATTACAGCAAACGTTAAAGCAATTATTTCTAATACAGTAGGTTCATTTTGGAACTAATTGATTTAGCAAATTAGTGGTGAAACTTCACCCTCTTCGAAGCAACTTACCATGTTTCAGTGATATTCTTAATATAAAATGCCCGGTGATTTATTACAGCAAACGTTAAAGGAATTATTTCTAATACAGTAGGTTTTTTTTTGGAACTAATTGATTTAGCAAATTAGCGGTGAAACTTCACCCCCTTCGGAGCAACTTACCACCGTGCGAATCCATGTCATCCATATCATAGAATTCGTCATTTTCTCGTACGTTCCAAGCTCTATTCTTCGCACGGTTAAAATCTAAAGTTGTACAATAAGTAGTAATAGTACGTTCGTTGTATACGAAACAAGAGGAATCATCCCACGGCTGTTTACTCGCACGAGGGTCGAGGCGTGTTGAAGTTGGATGAATCATCTCGAGCTATGAATCGTAATTTAAGAAGCGACCTTTGCCGCGTTTTATCGTCCTGGAATTGTTCCGATCCACCGCGAGTACTATGAATTTTTCGCTTTTAAAGAGTCAGGGAAAACGGGGTCGTCGTCGCGTTCCAGTAATAGTTCCTCTTCGTTTTCAACGTGGCGAACGAACGTTAGTATATTTAGAGGTGTGACTTCAACGTTGAATTTTATCGTGCTGTTAAGTAATCCTGACGTGTCGCTGTTTTTCTGTTACCGTTGAAGCGAACCTGATGCCACTCTAACGTTGTGTAATGTCTACATTACGGAACGACGTTCAAGATCGTGGAAAAGGGTGGGCCAGTATTATTACCGCCTTGAATTATTTTAGAAACCATAATAATTTGAAGAATATGTTTCTAATAATATCAACATTCACTGTACATTATTTTCGACTTAAAAATAAGTCTATCTCAAACTCAAGAATCGGTAGTTCTAGAGTTTGGGTATACTTCCGAAAGGCCCCATCACCCCAGGACAACCAAACTTCGGATTTATAGTAATTGAGGGACGAGAAATCGAATGAGACCATTTTTAGAAATGGCAAATAAACCGTTCTCGAGATATACAGGGTATTCTAAAAGTGCGGGAACCCCCTGTTATCTTGATAAGAACGCAGTTCCACGCAAAATGACTAACCTAACCTAGGTTAGAGTTAAGGTTAGGGTTAGGAAAATGACTAACCTAACCTAGGTTAGGGTTAAGGTTAGGGTTAGGAAAATGACTAACCTAACCTAGGTTAGGGTTAAGGTTAGGGTTAGGAAAATGACTAACCTAACCTAGGTTAGGGTTAAGGTTAGGGTTAGGAAAATGACTAACCTAACCTAGGTTAGGGTTAGGCTTAGGGTTAGGTTAGTCATTTTCCGTGAAAATGCGTTCTTATCAAGATAATAGGATGTTTCCGCACTTTTAGAATACCCTGTATATCTCGAGAACGGTTTATTTGCCAGTTCTGAAAATTTCTCGTCCCTCAATTACTATAAATCCGAAGTTTGGTTGTCCTGGGGTGATGGGGCCTTTCGAAAGTTTCCCTTAATGTTAGTAGTACTTCAAATTCCTCTCTTAAATTTCTTAAATTGAAAAGGAAAGAAAAGTGATAAGTGCATAGGAAGATTAAAGGGCCAGAATGTTGTCGATGGTTTTACATAACGAGTAAAAACAGAAGCAAACGGTTTGCTTGAAGAATTGTACGAGCGGCTAGCCGCGTACTCGGACCACCACGAACGACTTCCGGACTGGTGTTGGAATGAAATAAGACTAATAAGGCTACTCAAGCCTACACCTACATACATACGGGGGGTATATTTAACCGTAGGCTTGCGAACCACTGCATGCCTCGAGTTCATGGCATCGTGCAACGCAGAAATATAATTCTCTTCTTGTTTCTCGATCATCGACGATTCGATTCGAGACGATATACAACCTCGCCAACAGCTTCCGATACGAAATTTAATTACCATGTATCGGATTGATCCATAAGCTGCGTCGTTTTCTTATTCTATATTTTTATTATTCACCGTTAGATAATTATTCTGATATTTCAGACTATTCCTCATGATTTCTGATCATTTTTGATAATCGTTTTTAGAATTTTTCCAAAATTCGTATGTATTTCTTTAGAAAATTTAACAATGACTAAATATATTTTTCCTATCAAAGATTATCGCATAGACGGCCTATTTTGAAACAAAAGAGCCTGGTAAAGTTTAGACGAACTGTAATCAACGCTGTCAATTTGAAATGCAGATAATTAGATCAATCGAGCTCGAGTTTGACATAGATTAATGTTATTCGACAAACTCGAGGCGAGGATATGTTTCATCGGTGAAAATACTGATGTTTCACGGTGTCTTCAGGGTATTTCCAGACTTGATGATTTCGAAAGCGTTTCACTCGCGGATAGCCTAATTTTAGAGGAGGTAGCCGACGAATCTCCATCATTGTTCCAACTACGTTTATAAACATGATCTCACGTCTCGTTGCAACGGGAATGAAAATTGCAGCAAACGTTCGCTGAGTTACGCATGCACGCTTTTGCATCGTAATTCAATGTATTCCTCTTTCCTCATCGTTCTTTGTTTTATTTCACTGAATACTTATATATTTTATAAACGATAAGTATGCTTTCAAAGTAACTTACTCGATTTCAGTGAACATTCACAACTATCCCAGTGGAAATATCTATATGTAGCACATCGCGCTATAATTATAATTATTCAGATAACTTCGAGGAGTGTTTTATCGCGCTAGCCATTTTAATCGCGGGGAGGAAACGCCACGATGCAGATAAATCTATGTTTGAACCTTCTCTGATCGTAGGAGTCAGAGATTATCAGATCCCCTTGAACCAGACATTTTTCGTTCTGAAAATATCGAGGTAAAGTTGTATCTCGAAATTTTCATAAGCTATTTTCGCAAGTACTTTTGACAACGACGAGAAATTTCTTATTTCATTTCTGTTTCTAATTTTCATAAAAAAATTCCCCGTTGGAAAATTTTCGATTTCCTCGATTATAATCGCCATAGTATCCAGTGATCGAACGAACATAATCGTCTACAGTAGCTAAAGGGTTTAAGCAATCACGTACTCGTTACGTAAATTTCCTGCTAGTTGAAACATATAAGCCCGGTGTCTAACGTAATAAGATCCATTAGAAGAAACTTACAGTATGTAAATGATCTTTACGAACCTCTTCCTCTTCTCTCAATGAAAACTCTGTGCCTATCCATTGCGATATTTCTATCCATACATATCTATCGACGTAACTGGTAAATCGAAGGAAGTTCGATCGAGCGAGCACCGCCTACGGCTACGAAATCGTCGCTCTTTGATTTTTCTTCGACAGACAGAAAAGGACTAGAAAGACTACACGAGAAGGGACGATTGAGAGCAATTGAGAGGATCGTTCGATTCGGATCTGTCTGACTTGAAGCACCCATTCCATCGTGTACGAGGGCGGTGACCAGCTGCAGATGTTTAAGTGCTTCCTCGGATTCGTCTGTAAAAAATTTATTACCTTCAAAGCATCGCAACACTTGTTGCCGAACTATTCTGAAATGTTCCATTGAAAATGTGTAAAAATTACGGGAGTTGATTATTTTTATTTATGAAATCTCCACTGATTTATGCATCAATGTCGCGTGTTTAACATGTTTATACGATTTCACGGATACCTCGATGCTCATCCTTGGTATAGTTGTATAATCGCGGGGCAAACAAGCACTTAGGAGTTCACTAGCTTCCGCGTTTTCTTCGGGTTGTAACGGGAGCCGCGTGATTGACGATCGAATCGCGTGAAAGCTGCTCCGCAAATTCATCGGCTCGGGAACACTAGCATCTAGAAAAGATTCTTGCAGCTCGGTGAAGTTCAAAGCCGAATAGATAAATGCATCTTGTTGCGTCGATTTGCATTCTGATAAATTATCGGCATTGTTACTTCGTAGGCTAGTGTATACAGTGGTTGATCCCTAAAAATTTGGACGGCGGACCATGGAGAGAGCCTCGATTCTAATTGACTTTTGTACTTCATATTATTAATTTGACAGTGTTTCTTCAAAAATTTGAATTAAAATTAAAAAATATCCTTGTCATGATTGATCCAGGCTCTAATAGACACCTGTGCCTATTCTTAATTCCCAAACTGAAACATAAAATGAAGTGCAGCTCGGTGAAGTTCAAAGCCGAATAGATAAATGCATCTTGTTGCATCGATTTGCATTCTGATAAAAAATTGGCATTGTTACTCCGTAGGCTAGTGTAAACAGTGGTTGATCCCTAAAAATTTGGACGGCGGACCATGGAGAGAGCCTTGATTCTAATTGACTTTTGTACTTCATATTATTAATTTGACAGTGTTTCTTTAAAAATTTGAATTAAAATTATAAAATATCCTTGTCATGATTGATCCAGGGTCTAATAAACACCTTGCGCCTATTCTTAATTCCCAAAATGAAGCATTTAGGGCATTGACGAACCCGATTAATCTTTCAATTAATCTATTAACTTATTTAACAACTCTTTTATTGTTCTAATCGTGAGTGACCCAACATCGTCACGAGCGATTAGGACTGGTGGCAGCGGTAATACCGCCCTCAACCGCGTATTATTAACCACAATTTTATTAATTATTAATTTTTTCATTTACTTTGTACGTCGCGCGCCGTATCTCGCTCGCGACGTAACAAAATTTCTGGAGATTTCAAAAAGCCCTCGATATCTTATCGAACAGAATCTCGAGGGAGAAAGATAGTAATAAAATAGGGAAGCTAACGAGTGAATTGGTTTTTGCAGTGCGAACGGGAGGGCGCCAGTGTCCAGCAAACCACCCCTGCCTCCGCAGCCACCCCGCGTCGGGGCGCTGAGTTCGAGAACGTCGACGGGCGCGTCGTCGTCGTCGGCGACGATGTGTTCGTCGCGCCGACGCGCGGCCACGGACCTTGGAAATCCGGCGGCCATCGAGATGGCGAAAGCCCGTACGATGCAGGCCGCCCAGGAGCGCCCGGTCGGCCTGCTCGAGACCGACCTCGACGAGGCCGTGCCGTCGACCACCAGCACCGCCTCCACCAACGCCACCGGCAAGAAGACCAGAAGCCTGCTAAATCTGAATCACAGCTCGACCGTACCGAGACCGAGGGCAGAGCACGCCCTCCACGTACCCCAGTCGCCTGTCGCCGCTTCGCACAGGAGCCCCCGCGACGACGACCCCGCGTCCACCATAAACCAACGTCCACACAAATCCATGGAGTTCCTCCTCGACAAGGAGAATCTGCATTTCGTCAAGGTAAGTCGTTTTACCAAAGGAAACTATATTCAATATTCTTCAAATGTTTTTCATTTATATACTCGATACAACCGTTTCATCGTCCACCACTGATCGAGGATTAATTAAAGTAGACATTTCAATATCCCCGAGGGTTTCCTTTTAATTCCGTATAGTTATTGAAATTTTATCCTCCGCGTCAAAGTGCTACGCAGCACGGAGTGAACATTCAAAGGGTTAATTTGCGACTCGCAAGCGACACTTGTCGAGGGTCTACGACGGTCGATTGCTACTCTAGGGATCACTTCCTGTAAGAGAAGTTGATTACTTTAAGGGGAATTGGCGTTTTCTTGGCTTACGGGGAGAGAGTGAGTTGCGGCTGCAAGGGTTTCTCGAGTGCAAGGGGTTAATTAACGAATCGTTTGATCGACTTTTAGTCGAACCGTGTTCCGTAGCATATGGTGACGTCGTGACGCAGAGTTTTTCGGTGGACGAGTATAATAGTATGCCGGTGGATTGTTCCTTTTTATTTCGAACGGTGTTTGTCTGCGCACGATACTAATTGTGTATACTGATTTTCGCGGGTTATTTTTGTCGAGAGTGCTAATTGTACCGTACATGTTCATCGAATGGTCGGTTTAATTAAGGCCGAGGAACGAGAGTGTTAATCGATCGAAACACTGTTGTTTTAATAATTTTCAGTTCGATAGATTTGATGCGAGGTTAAAAGTAGATTTTCTAATTAAATAAATAACGAAATTGAAGAATTTATTTTTGAATCGTGATACCTCGTGAAATGGAAAGTGTGCCGAGACCACGTCGAAATATTGATAAACGATATTTATGTTTATTTAATCATCGGGTAACCTTTTAAATAATATAAATCTTGGGTAATACCGTATTAGAAAAGAAAATCGACCTGATTTTATAAATAATTAGAGTCGGTGTAGAAAGTATTTGTACATGGATCACTTTCAAACAACATTTCACGAAATTGCAGCCTATTAACTAACTTCTCTGAGAAAAGTTAGAAGCGTAGTCGTGTTCATCAAACTTTAAGCTTTAAATTGTTACACGATACGTACTGTTTTGCAATACTTTTATGTCATCAAATCCTATTAGACTTTGCACCTTTCGAAATCAGTCATTGTCTGCTCTAACTGGCAATCAGCCATTTTATATTAAGAACCCTAATTAAACGTCTACGTAGTCATTTTCATCGAGCTTCAAGCTTCAAATCGATGTATCATGGATGTTATTCTTCGATACTTTTCTGTCATCAAATCATGAAAGACTATACATATTTCCAAAATAACGATCCGATACTTTCCCATAAAATTATATTCAAATTCTGATATATCAATTTGAAGTTTAAATTCAAATAAAAATTGCTACGTAAAAGTTTCATCGATATTCTTCATCCAAATTGATATATTTAAAATCATTTTAACACCTGAATGTACCTGTTTCACATAAAAAATTCGATGGTTCCATTAAATTCAAGTTGGAGGAAGGTGTAATAGCCCAACATACGATAGATTGAATATACACGGATGGTGGAATAAATTATAAAGGACGTTCGGGAAGCCGAATGAGGTCTTCATCGCGATCGGAGCTCGATCGAACGTGTTGCTTTTCAGGTTTCTCTCGTCTCCCTTCAGCTCGCGATTTTCTTTCCTCTTTTGATATATTTTCGATCCGTCCGATTTAATGACCGTCGGTGGTATCTCCTTAAGACATTCATTTGCGTTATAAGCCGATGGCTGCGTAGGAAAATTAATCGGCATTAGATGATTATCGGCTTAAACGTCTCTTAAGCTGATCATCTTAACGAAATTATACCGTGAGATGGAGTATGAATGTATTTTTAATCCACCGTTACTAAGCGCTAAATAACGATAACGAAATGGCACGTTAGATATTTTTGTATCTGAAAGGTTTTCATTCAATTTAATACAAAAGCTTCGATAATAATTTGATCAAAATTAAAATTAATAAATCAATATAAAAAAATCATTTTTCCCGATTTTCATATCGCTTAAGTTGAAACGTGTATGCACCTGAAAAATGCATGCTTATTTTTCCTTTCCTTTTGCATTGGCCATGCAACGAATATCCGATGCAACAAGGTCAATCGAATGTATAAGTCCCGCGGCTGTATAATTTATCGTTCGGTACGCAGGAACTTTTGAATCGGTCAGACGTTTCGACGAAGTCGTCGCCGTCAGATAATCGGTAGATATCTAACATTTGCATTTTACATACGCCTGCCTACGCTGCAAGTTGAATTTCACATGGATATCGAGCGACAGAGGTAACTCGAATTTCTCTTATCGATGAAAGAACAGTGAGAACTTTCACGATCCCGTCGTTTATCCCGCCGCTTACCATCGATCAATCGTACATCTATTAGAATTAATAGCTACGGGCATGTTCGATGACTTTCGATACCTCTTCCCGCGGTGATCAATTTGAATTGGTGAATCGAAGAACCGTGCAGCCTGAAAACTAGCCATTTTTCGAACAAAGAGACAGAAAATTTGATTTCCAAAAGATTTTCCAAAATTATACAAACTTCTCTCCGTTTCTATAATCATCTGTTTATCGATCGAGAGATGCGTTTCAGAGGACTAAATGAATTTCTTGCTAATGAACAATAATAGCCTGTGATAGGAAACAGAGGCCAATAGTGTCCCGCTTTCTCTGCGCGTCGCTTCGTCAGCCAGGAACTCTATTATGCTTGTTCATGAAAAGATAGGTGGATCGATCTAGAGACGATGATGCTGTCGTCGGTATAATTACTGCCACGACCTCGATCTTCTCTTTCTCTCCCTTTCTCAATATTTCTTTTATTTTATTTTTTTTTTTCACGTGTCTTTCTTGCTCTTTTCCTGTCGCTTTACGTTCAGCCGATCTTGCTGGCGTCGTTAAGGTCGGTTGCATTTAACAAGATCGACCGATCGGCTCGGTCTCGTTTCATTTTCTATTTTCTTCAACTCCGATAAACGGCTATACCTGTGTCTGTGTATCCTATATCTCGTTTCGCGGTAGATAAACACGATTTCCAACTGGTGGGATTCGTTCGACCCGTACCTCGATCCTTTTTTATTTCGTTCGTTTTCTTTCGGGAACAGGGACCAAGCTTCTTTCGAAAGTGTCTTAGCTGGTCGAAGCAATCTAGGTGAATTATTCAAGTTTCGAGTTTCAGAGAAATTGGATGGTATTTTTTTAACTTTACAGAAGTTTCCAACAAATTAGAGTTCACTGCTGTCCTTGCAGTTCCTTTGTTGGATAGTTCTTCTTTCTAACCTGATTCCAATTTTTTTTTCTTCTAATTTTCTATGAATTGGGTCATTACTCGACGTAGTGTAAGCGCGAGGTGTGTTTAATAAGGGTCGATAGTTGTAAGGTTACGCTTCACGGGACAGTCCAGTCGATACGATGAGCACCCATCGTGGGAGCGAGTCGAGTCGGTCATTCGATTCAAGGCTCTCCCCAGCGGAATCATTGGCCTTTGAAACCTTCTTTTGCATATCCTACACGTCGCGTCTCTTTTTTCATTTTAATTAAAATTTTCTTCGAATGAATTTTCAAAGTTTCAGTCCGAATAATTTCAATCGATCTGTATAAATATCTGTCGCGTTCTAAATTCATCGTCAGAACGAAATCGACCCACGTGTGCACGCTAGGCAAAACGACGAAGAAAGGAAGCACTTTCATTTCGAATTCATCTGTCGGAGTGGGTCCTCGTTTACCACCGTGTGCTGTCCCTTTCACACGCCTCGATTTATGCTCTTCCTCTCGAAATCCAGCTACCGCGAGCCGGCTTTTGTTCTAATTAGTCCAGCGAAGAATTTCAATTTACTCGTTCGATCGTCGCGCGTAGTACTCTTTGAAAATGCGTCGACGAGACGCGTGTAATTAAAGCGCAGCCCTGATGCATTCTCCTCTGCAACTTTTCCACGTGAATCTGTGATGCACTTTGATTCCTTCTTTTCATCCCTGTCTGTTATCGTCGGACGAAACGTAATCAGTTACGTTACCGAGCTTTTCTCCGTGCTTTCAGAATAGATTCCGAGACTAACGCGTCTTTTTTTTTTTACTTCATCACGCAATTTCTTATCGATCGACGATGCTCGGCGAACGTTATAAACAGAGCGAGAAGAAATTATCATTCTACCATAAGGATAGATGCATTAGGTGAACGGAGCAGGCACTTCGGTTATGGTCGGTGGTATTTTAAGCGATGATTATAATTACACGCGTCCTCGATATTGAATTCGTGATGGGCGGAAGGGACCTCGAAACTTCACCTTTCCAAGTGCTATGGATAAGGATGGTCATGGATTGCCAAGGTGATTTTATCAATTAGTATTTTTATACAGGAAAATTTTCATCATTTATTCATAGCTATACAGAGGGTGTTTCGTTTAAAACAGTCCACCTAAATATCTCCTCTATCTCTGAAAATACAAAGGATGTTTCTTACGTAATCTAAATGGTATTAAAAGACAAATTAGATGGAAGAACCGTTTTTTATAAATTGTAATTTTTTAATCGTTCTTTTGAGGTCACTCGTGTTTAAATTTTAGAATCCACGGTCACTTCAAGGTCGTGCACAATAATATTTGCTATAACATAGAACAACAAAAAATGTGTGTACATACGTGAAAAAAACACGAGTGACCTAGAAAAAACGATTAAAAAATTACAATTTATAAAAAACGATCCTTCCATCTGATTCCTCTTTTGAAACCATTTAGACTACGTCAGAAACATTTTTTGTATTTTCAGAGATAGAGGGAATATTTAGGTGGCCTGTTTTAAACGAAACACCCTGTATAAGTAAATTCTGTACACATGTCAAACGAAACGAACTTAATTAATAGCGTAAATTTTCTTTCCAAATTAGTCTCGATCGAATAGCTCCGGTTCAGGTGGAAGTGGCTGGCGCGTTTTGCGATGAGCACCGTTCGACACACTTCCGTAGAACGATTCATGAATAAACAATAGAAACTGTT